AAGGTAAGGCCACCTCCGTTGACCTGTCGCCGGAAGTTGGGGGGAGCAACAAGAGGAAGTCTCCAATGATTTCGGGACACTCCTCCCAACCTCCAAAGTCGGCGCTGAAGGCTCGCAAGCGTGTCAAGTCAAGTCAACTCCCCAAGTCGAAGCCGTTTGTGGAGTCGGAAGATGATGAGGACCCAATTGTTCAGGTATGTGTTCTGGCTGATTTCTGACATGCTCTCAATTTGTTGCAGCCGATTTCGCGTGGAGTGCCGGAGGTCGTCCTTCCCCAGCGCACCATTGTGGTAAGGAAGCCCCAGTCGCCTCGGTCACCCAGGTTCCCCCAAGAAGCAATCATTTGGGCCTGCTTCGGTAAGTTTGCATTTTTCGTTTGGACTTTAAATATATGCTCATGTGTCCACAGCTGACTGCCGGCAGTCGTCCGGAGGTTACAGTGAGTCGTTTGGACATGTCCGGACCTCCCATGTATAATTCCCACTCATTCCCATTACATTAGAAATCTCCCATCAGTCGTCTGGAGGCTCGGGTAAGTCCTAGAAGTTTTCCAGAAACTCATGTGTATTAACAATCTGTCAGGCAACCTCCGGCAGGCGTCCGGAAGTTGAGGAGGAGTCCTCCAATGATACTTCCAGTGCTTCGGATGGTGACCTGCCGGCCACTACCACATTTGATATCACCATTCCCAGCCCAGTGAGTACTCAAATAAATTCCCTCTAGTCCATCTACTAACAGATACTACAGAACAACCCCTGCCATTATTGTGTCAAGGAAAATTGGCCCTGTGCGACTCGATTGGACAAGAGGTCCAGCCTCCCCTGCTTGTCTTGCATCCGCTGCTCCACCAAGAAGATCAAATGCAACCCTGCATCTCTGGGATCCCCGCCCAAACGGACCCGAGGGAAGTCTACCACCGGCTGGACACGTTCCAAGACACCTGCCCCTGCTCCATCCAATGCTCCATCTCCCTCCCGGTCAAGGGCCCGAACTCGTAGTCAATCTTGTGGCCCTTCCCGAACTCCGGCCATCCCTGCTGCAACCACACCCCAGGTGCAGTCACGTGGTCGCAGCAAGACCATCACTACCAAGAAGACACCTGCACCTGCACCTGCACCTGCACCTGCACCTGTTCCTGCACCTGTCCCTGCACCTGTCCCTGCACCTGCACCAGCTGGTAAGTCACCCATACTTTTGATGACCGGCTGACCTAATTTTTTACTTAGCAGTCAGGTCTTCCAGTGTCGCAGTGCCTCGTGCAGCACTCAATGTTCCCATGCCGGATCTCCATTCCATGGCAATCGCGATTCGGGATGGTGCAGCTCGCATCGCTATTCTTGAGGCTCGGGTGCAGGAGCAGGACGCTAAGATTGATACCCTGCAACACCTCCATGAGAGCCTCCGGCACACAGTGGTCGACCGGCACCCTTCATTTTCACTTCCGGACACACCGGCCGATGGAATAATGTTGCTTGGTCAAGGAGGTCCCCCCCCGTCCATGTCACCCCTCCCCTCCGCACTTTCCAACCTCATTGATTTGGACTTTTCAGTCATGCAACCTACACCCTTGACACCTGAGCATGAATCTGCTGTGGTAGGTCCCATGGTTGAGCCCATCCAAGTTCAGCCTGAGGGTCCACAATCCTCCGGCGAAATTGATCTCCCTGATGAACCAGGCAACCTCCTGCCAGAATCCCCCGGCGATATTGTGGTCCCTAATGAACCAGGTAACCTCCTGCCAGAATATGATTCTTCTGATGAGGAGATGGATGTTGAGGGAAAGGTTGATCTTCCTGGTGAGGAGGTTGACATGGCTACATAATTGCTCAGTGATAGATGTACATAAATGTTTTTCCATGCATGTTACCTATGCCACAATTGAATCATTCAATGATCACTCCCGATATCCAGAACTCGAAACTGCAGATTGAGGTAGATATCACCCGAAACCCGAACACCCGAATGTCAAATTATCAGTGCCGAACCCCGAGTCCCGGGTGCCGGGTACCGAGTCCCGACACCCGGAACTCAGGATTTGACATTTTAGACGAACGACATCTTCCAGACATGTTTAAATCAACCTATGTATATCTGTAAACATTTTACTAACCCCCAAACCCCAAACCGAGATGTACCAACCCCCGAACCCCGAAACCCGAGAGTGCCGGGTCTCGGGTATCGGGTGTCCGAACTCGGAACTTGGGAGAATTTGGGGAGATCAATACAATTTAATTTACAATCGAGTTGATTGACAACACATTGACTTACCCATGTTTGCAATATATTTTTGTTTAGACATACCTAGTTCCGAGTTCCGGACACCCGAGACCCAGCAGTCTCGGGTCTCGGGTCTTGGGTGTCCGGAACTCGGAACTAGGTATGTCTAAACAAAAATATATTGCAAACATGGGTAAGTCAATGTGTTGTCAATCAACTCGATTGTAAATTAAATTGTATTGATCTCCCCAAATTCTCCCAAGTTCCGAGTTCTGGACACCCGATACCCGAGACCCGGCACTCTCGGGGTTCGGGGGTTGGTACATCTCAGTTTGGGGTTTGGCACTGAAAATTTGACATATATATTTTTGTGAGTGTTGTGCTTCTGGTGTCCATGCTTAGAAATAGGATTTGTTGCACACCAGGGTTCAGGTGTGGGGTTTTTCCACTTCAGTCCTGGATTATTGGTCAATGCCACACATGATAGATTCATGTTTTTGTGCTTAGGGGTTTAGATTTGGTGGTTGATGGTAGGTATATGCACTCATAGTGTACATGTATCCTATGTGTTTGATTCGCTGGTGGCTACATCAGCTGTATGTCTTGATGGAAAATATCTAGGCTCACCCATATATGTAATACACCCCCATCGGCCCGCCCGTCTATGTATTATCCCCCACGTCGGCCGACCCGTCTATGTGATACATCCTATGTTGGCCCACCCGTCTATATAATACATCCTACATCGGCCCACCCGTCTATATAATTATACCCCACCTTGGCCCACCTGTCTATGTAATAAATATTTTATAGCACCCTCGGCCCACCAGTCTATTTGATATCCCTTTCGTCGGCCCACCCGTATATGTAATACATTCCACGTCGGCCCACCTGTATATGTAATACACCCTACGTCAGCCCACCCGTCTATGTAATATTCCCCTACCTCGGCCCACCCATATATGTAATACACCCACGTTGGCCCGCCCGTCTATATAACAATATTTGCCTTACATCTCTCTTCAGCCCAGCTGTCTATAATATCCTACTCTACATATTACCCAGATGGGCCCACCCATCTCCATGAATGATCATATTCCCCCGGCCCATCCGTCAACATTAAGGATATATATATCATTGGCATACATGGGCCCACCCGTCTCCATCGGAAATAATATGAGTCCCGGCCCATCCGTCATCATCGAGAATATACACAACATGGGCCCATGATCAGCTGGCCCGTCTCATACGGGATATTATGGAGGTCGGGTGGCCCGTATAATACGGAATTTGTCACTGAAGGGGCTCGATCAAACTAGTCTCGCATTGGCTGAAAGCTTTCCGTGCGGCAATGACACAAATGTCAACAACGAAGTGTTCAATGCTGTCATCTACCCAGGCCATTTTCTGTAGATTGCAAGAGTCGCTGCAAGAATCTCTGCGTGAGTTGCCCAATAACATACCACCTCACCTCAAAGACTCGCTCATCAAAGCACATTGGAAATTGAGTGATTATTATATGAAGTTTGATGAATCACCATTATACATATGGTCTTCTCGTAAGTATTCTCTTGTATCTACGGTGTTCTGTCTACTTATTCCTTGACACTGGATAGTCCTTGACCCCCGAATTTCATTTGAAGGTCTTTCTGCTGACTGCGGCGACGACCACACACTACAAAGCCACTTGGAACATGCAAAGGATCAGTTGTGTCAGTATTATCAAGACAACTACCTTTTGTCACAAGCTTCAAGTTCCCTTGTCGCTCCTCAACCTGCAGCGGCAGACTCGGAAACCTTATCTGGATCACCCCAGAAGGTCAATTTCACAGCTCGGTACAAAAAACGCCCAATGAACTCAAGGGATGAGCTCGAGGAGTACTATAGGCTGCCTGTTGAGGATTTTGATGCTTGTGACCCCATCCAATGGTGGGCAGGCTGCTGTTCACAATTTCCGAACCTCTCATGTCTGGCTCGCGATATTCTCGCTATTCCTGGTGAGTTTAACCTGCTCAAAACCATTGTCTAGTATAGGTATGCTAATTTTGCATACTGTAGGCTCTGCCGTCGCTGTTGAGCGCATTTTTTCAGGTGGTCGCGATACTATTTCCCTTAGATGTGCTAGCTCCAACCCAACACAATTAGAACACTAATGTTGGTCAAACAGCGGCTGCGCCTGGCTTGTAATGCCATCATGGTGATTGATTGAATGATACTAGTACCAGCTGATACTCGTTTGTACTACATACTAGCTACTGTACTAGTAACTCGATGTTTTTCGTCTCCCATATGACCGTATTGACTGACCATATGACCATATAGTTACCCACACCGTACCGTCGACAATATCGAGTACACCGTATGGCATATGGGACGATACAGGCAGTACCTGTATGGCTACCATACAATTGTACGGCCATAACCGTATATGGTTACGGTGACCAGCCCTAGTATGGAGATGAATATAATCTACAAATGTGAACAGTAAATGTGCAAAGAAATGGTGTGGTTATCGCTTTGTGGAAAATTGTTGTTAAGTTCATTTCTGAGAGGACCTAGATGAAAGGGCTCGCCACTTGCTGGCAGCATCCATCCAAAATGTGTAGAATATGCTAAGATTTACCTCCCATCATTCTATACACTCTATACCATCAGGGAAAGCCTCTGCCAGGAAATTCACCGAAATATTCAAACTCGAGCTTAAAACGGTTGAATTCCAGGAAATGTAGTATTTTCACAGAAATCATTGTATTTCAGATGAATGTAGTCGATTCTAGTACTAGTCAGATAATAGTTAAATAAGCATGCCTGTCGCTGAACGAGTTTACGAAGAAGGTAGAACAAAGCTCCAGAACGGTACTACTGGTCCATTCACGAGGTACTACAGGGCCGAATTTTGGAATAAGATGTACACTCCTGCGAATATCAGAAATGTCAATGATGCTTGCCAGACACTCTCCATTACGAATGAGGCGGGAAATTTTATACAAACCATGGTTTGCTTCAGGCTGCCCGAATGGCGTGAACCATTCCACATGTGCAAGTGGGTAGGCAAAATTCCAGGTGTGTGAAATAAGGCAGCTGTAGCCTGGCTTGTCAGCGTGAAGATGATGCGCACTTGTGCAACACGATACCCTGATATTGATGATCAAATATTAGCATGATGTTACAAGGGATTAGTACAAAAAACACGCACCATCAACACCTGTCGTCCCACCACCATCTTCGTTAACTAAAACCGTGTCGAAGCACACAGGAACTATCTGCCTTCTTTTGTCCTTTCGTGGTGGCTGACAGTGCACTGAATCCACAGTAATGGTTGAATCACGATATCTGTGAGCATTGATTGCGTGGAACTTGACCCTATGGAATGCGGCAACAGTCTGGAAGGGAAGGATGACATGGGAAGCTTCTTGTTCAAGTTGCGCTGGAGAAAGGCCAGGTTGATTTGTGCGAACGACATAACGAGCTAATGCTTCGGTGAAAAAAGTGGCGCCATAGTCGCGAACTACACTATCCAATGGAACACATCTAATAGTTGGGTGTTTCGTCATCTTGATCGAGCGATGATAGTCCATGTCGGGCGGTAACCTGTCTTGTGGAGGAGGATCGCCAGCAAGGCGCCATTGGACGAAATTATTGTGCCATAACATCTTCTCGCGTCTTTCAAGCCAGAGTGTCATTTGCGTATATTCGTCTTTATGGTTAGTAGCTCTGTAAGCATCCTTTGCGAGACTGTAAATTCAGTTAATGCTGGTGGTTCAAAGTCGCTGTGATCGTCATCTGTATCCATATAAAAACTAGAATGATGTTGAAATAGAGCTGCACATGGCGGATTTTTCGTAGTGGCAAGATGATGAGAATGGCCAGCGAGCTCGAAGTTCTTAGCACAGCCTGGGCAAGTGATCATTCTGGTGGTAAAAAAACAAGGGCCGTAACAAAGACAACCTACAGCCACAAACAAAGCTTCAAGCAAAGTTCAGCGGACTACGAACTTTGTCAACCCTGCCCCAGCGCAACCCTGCAACCCTGCCCATGCAAAGTTCAGCGGACTATGAACTTTTTTCTTTAACACTGCCCACCAACTTGACTGCTACATTCTTTTTACCCTCAGTGTCCTGTATCATTCAATTTTGTAGCAGTACACTCTTTGAAAAGAGAAAACACTCATTCACCTTTTAAAATGCCTCCCCATCCATCTGAGATAGCTGCTCAGAAGTGGAATGCTAAAAAGAAAGAGAAAGTAGTGGCAAGACAAGTGTCTTCCGGCGCTGAGGTCGTAACCCCAGACATAGCTGATGACATCGCAGATAGCAGTGAGTACAGAGGCTGTCATAATCAGACCCAAAAAAACTCACATTCTCGCAAAGAGCTGCAACGGTCTTCAAAGAAAAAAGCACTGGAGCGCAAAGGTGAGCGCCTAAACCCATATTGTGCAAAAAAAATTATGCTACATACCTATGTCAGTCTGGAATAATACAACCAGCAATAATTGCAAGCGTGCACCAACGGTGACTGAGCTTCTGTCTGCGCCTGCAACAAAGTCAGTAAGGAAGACACTGAAAGCAGTCGAAAAGACACAGAAAGCAGTTGAAGGTGGTGGTCGTGAGAGAAGCAGTATGTGTGGCCTCTTTAAAACCGAGTCGAAGTGATACTCAACTTAAAATAGGTGTAGCTTCCACTCTCACGAGTCACAATGGTGTGTCAGTTGACACCGATGACTCTGCGAGTGAATATGGTATCAGCGACTCTGAATCCAATAAGTCAGATGTCAATGTGGAAGTTGAAGACGACAGTGATATCTCAGACTTACTGTCTAAAACCCCGGAGAATCTTCATGAGGTACTAATGAAAGAGGTGCATGAGATTTCAAATTTACTAGCTGATAGTCACTTACAAATTGGTACAATGTCAGATTCCGCGTTTTGTTCCACCCCGCCTTGCTTCACGTTACAGTGATAGTTCAGCCGCTGCATCAACATGGGATGATGATGATCCAGCGGGCCAACTTGTCACGGTCACAGCTGACTCAGTCAAGGTCAAATGCGAGCCTGACGAGAAGAAGAAAAGGAGCAAGCTCAAAGGACGACAACAGATTGAGGTGACCTAACAATCCCTTTCACTGGCCCGATTCACGATTATTTCTGTTACAATCACTCTACTTCCTTTGCTTCTCGCGTATCTGCCATTATGCCCTACATTTTCCTTAGCGACTTAACTTTCCTTTCTTGGTCTTATTTCCGTATTCGACTCTTGTACTATCTTCTCACCGTAGCCCTGGTCCATGCGCATATAGTTTCCTATTTAAGCACGTGTACTTTACTTAGGAACGTCACTTCAATCTTACTAGGTTTTACCCAGAAACTTCCTTCGCTTAAGACCACCAATCTTAAGACGTCTGAATCGATCTCTTAGTCGAAGCACTCCTTTGACTAAGTCTACGAACCTCTTCTTATCTGAAGAGCTATACAGATCTCAACAACGTGAACGCTCTATCGAGCCTTTGTTGTTAAGAACTATCCTAGTTCGTAACAAAAGATTGAAGTCGAGAAAGACACCTATATCCATACGTGTCAAAGAAACTTCGAAACCAGAACAGAAAAATCCTGACTGAGCAAGACAGCTAGTGCAGGCGAAGAAAAGGTCGACAATCTGACTTCACTCACCCCTACCTTCCAAGCCCTGAACCTTGGTACTCCTGTACCACCACTAAACATGTCAGCCTCATCCAAGACAACAGAATTCAAGATCAACCATCCTCCTACATTCGATGGCGACAGAGACAAGTCCAAGTCATTCATGCTCTCATGCAATGCTTACATTGATATCAACTCGGAAATCTATAAAACCGACGCTCAGAAAGTGATCTTCATCTCCTCGTTCATGAACGAAGGAAATGCTAGGTCATGGAAAGAAGAATTCCTCGCAGAGGCCCAATACATCGACTCAACTGGACAGAAGAAGGGCTATGGAACCTTGAAAGAATTTAACGAAAGCTTTGACAAAGCCTTCGGACCGATTGACCCATCTGGGACCGCGTTGGCACGACTCCTGGAACTAAGACAAGGCCCAGAAGGCCTGCAGACGTACATTGCAGACTTCCAAAGGTTGCTTACCCAAGCAAAAATCAAAGAAGAACATATGAAGATCTATCATTTCGAGAACGGCCTCAACGGAGGACTTCTAACCAAGATGTTCAACGCAGGAGGGGTACCCAAGAGCCTTGATGACTACATCGCTGCAGTAGTCGATCTGGATAATTGCTATGCAAGATTGTTAGCTCGGAGAAACAGGTTTCCTTCGCGACAAATCCAGAAGAAGAACGGTCGCGGAGATCAAAGATACATCCCTGCCAGAGATAGGGATACCATGGTTATTGATCGGATCACCGACGAAGCCAAACAAGAATACATGAGGACGGGAAAATGCTTCAACTGTCACCAGATCGGACATCGGGCACGGGAATGTCCGCAGAAGAAGAAAGCCCCCTACCCAGCAGTGAGGAAGGTAGAGGAAGAAGAAGCTAGAAGAATTGATGAGGATTTTTAAACCGGAGACCTATATCGACGATAGCATCTCCAGCAAAACCTGTACGCCTAATACGAACAGTTGGTGAAAAGAAAGAACTTCGTGTCCCCATAACCCTCGTATCCCGAACGCATCAGAAAAACGTCGAAACCACCGCAGTAATTGACTCCGGAGCATCAGGAACCTATATCTCCGAGGACTTCGTAAAAAAGCATAACATTGGAACCAAGAAACTCGAAAACCCTTTTTACATTAAAACCGCCGATGGAAGCTACTTCAGTAGCGGACCGGTAGAACGGTATTGCACGCTGATCGTCCAAATCGACCAAAGGATGATGATAGGAAAATTCAACATTACCAAACTAGGAGAAAAAGACCAGATCCTACTAGGGATCCCCTGGCTCCGAGCCATGAACCCCGCTATAGACTGGACCAAACAGACGGTGTCCCTTCCGGCAACAGAAAAATCTGCCGAAATCGAGAAATATGTCAAGCAAACCTCTCGACCACAGAAAACCTTCTTCACTAAGAAATTCAATACAAAAGAAGACGCCTGGAGTACGTCACCATCATCTCTAACCGAACTTACGGACGAAGGAGAATATCTCCGACAAATCGAAGAGTCATCCAAGTTTAGTAACAAAGCACAGGAGTTCGCCTCAGAAGAAAAAGAAAAAAGAAAAAAAACTTTTGAAGAATTGGTACCGGAGTATCTCCATGATTTCTCTGACGTATTTGCAAAAAACGGCTTGAACGAACTACCCCCCAAGAGACCTGGTATCGACCATCGTATCGAAACGAAGCCCGGATTTATTCCCAAAACGTCCAAAATTTACCCCCTTTCCTACAACGAACGAAACGCAGTAAAAAGATTTATCGAGGAAAATCTTGCCAAAGGATTCATCACGAAATCTAAATCCCCTCAAGCAAGCGGATTCTTTTTTGTAGGAAAGAAAAGCGGAGAACTCAGACCATGCCAGGACTATCGCTTCTTGAATGACCAGACTATCAAAAACGCGTATCCCCTGCCACTCCCATCATCTTTGGTTGAACGGTTACATGGCGCAAAAATATTCACAAAAATTGATATTTGATCCGGATACAATAACATTCGGATTCATCCGGATGACAGGTGGAAAGCCGCATTCATCACGGAAGAAGGACTGTTTGAACCCATGGTCATGTTCTTCGGATTATGCAATTCCCCAGCCACTTTCCAAGCGTATATGAACGATACGTTCAGAGCTGAACTCAACGAAGGATGGCTCGTCATTTACATGGACGATATGCTCATCTTCTCCGAAACAACCACCGAACACCAACAACGAACCTGCATTATTCTAGACAAACTTCGAAAAGAAAAGTTATTTGTCAAACCGGAGAAATGCACATTCGACGCGGAGGAAGTGGAATACCTTGGAATGATTATCAAACCAGGAAGTGTAGAAATGGATAAAGGGAAGACGGCAGGCATCAAGGACTGGCCCATCCCTGAAACAGTTAAAGATGTTCGATCCTTTTTGGGTTTTTGTAACTTCTACCGAACCTTTGTTTCCCACTACTCGGATATTGCTCGACCCCTTATTGACCTAACAAAGAAGAATGTCTCGTTCTCTTGGACGCCCCTGTGCCAGCAAACATTCGAGAAGCTCAAAGAATGCTTCACTTCGCACCCTGTTCTTCAGAACCCCGACCCCCACCATCAATTCGCCGTCGCTACGGATGCTTCTCTTGTCACGTCAGGAGGGGTATTGCTGCAAACTGACACCAATGGCGTTTATCACCCGTGTGCATACCTATCGCAGTCATTCAGCCCTGCTGAGAGGAATTACCCCATTCATGATCGCGAGCTGTTAGCTATTATCCGCGCCCTCACCCATTGGCGACACTACCTCGAAGGACATCCACAACCGGTCATTGTGTTTACTGATCATATGAACCTCCTCTATTTCGCAAAAGCAGAACGCCTATCCAGAAGGCAGGCCAGATGGCAACTACTCCTCACTTCTTTCGACTTAAAGTTATATCACGTCCCCGGTACAAAATTAGCAGTTCCGGATGCCCTTTCTCGCCGGCCAGACCACGGCGACGGATCGGGAGATAATGCCGACGCCGTCCTCCTTCCTGATTCCATGTTTATCCGCCTAATCGACGATGAATTACGAGCAGCTATTGCTTCCACCGCACCCCTTGACGACCCCCTCTTCTCTGCCGTGCAAGATGCCCTTAATGGCCTATGTTTGCCTCCTATGAAATCATCACTTAGCGACTGGCATATCGCCGATGATATTCTGTTCTACAAAAATAGAGCTTATATTCCTCCCGCGCATCGTCCGCAGTTGCTACGGAAGCATCATGATCACCCTTCTGCTGGGCATCCCGGACGTTTTAAAACCGAAGAACTCGTCAAGCGGGAAGCTTGGTGGCCCAGTATGGGCACCTATATCCGCCATTACGTCGATGGCTGCGCTACTTGCCAACAGATGAAGGTGGACACTCACCCTGTAACCCCACCCCTACGCCCTATCAGCACTATGGCTACTCGCCCCTTTTCCCAGATCTCCGTCGATCTCATTACTGATCTGCCCGTTTCTTCTGGCTTTGATAGTGTCATGGTCGTGGTAGACCACGGGCTTAGTAAGGGGGTGATCATTACTCCTTGCCATAAAACAATTACCTTGGAAGGAGTGGCGAAGCTATTTTTAAAACACGTTTTCAAAAGATTTGGTCTCCATGACAAAGTAATCTCCGATCGTGGACCACAGTTCCTATCCAGATTCTCGATCGAACTTGCACGACTCCTAGATTATTCTTTAGCTCCCTCCACTGCCTACCACCCACAAACCGATGGACAGACCGAACGATTAAACCAGGAACTCGAAACGTATCTTCGAATGTATTGCCAGAACAATCCTTCCGAATGGGTGGAACATCTCCCTATGGCAGAATTTGTTCACAATCACAGAAGACACTCCGCAAAGGATGCATCCCCTTTCTTTATCATGATGGGATACGAGCCGAAAGCTCTCCCACACTTACTTCCGGAATCAGACGTTCCCGCTGCTGAGGAACGAGTCAGAATTCTTCAAAAGATAAGAGAAGAAGCCGTCTCCTGTCATAACATTGCTATGCAATGCATGGTGGAAAGATCCTTCGGACAGAAGTACGAACCATGGAAAGTCGGAGATAAGGTATGGTTGTCAGCTGCCAATTTAAGACTAAAACTCCCATCCCGGAAACTGGCACCCAAAAGATACGGCCCGTTCACTATCACGGCCGTGCTATCCCCTATTGCGTTTACGCTCCAATTACCGCCGCAATGGAGGATCCACCCTACGTTCCACGCTTCGCAGCTATCCTCCTATCGCGAAAATGACGTACACGGTCCGAACTTTCTAGAACCACCACCTGATGTTCTCGAAGAAGAAGAAGAATATGAAATAGAAGCAATCCTCGCACATAAAGGAAATGGAAATCGCCGTCGATATCTCGTATCGTGGAAAGGGTATTCTTCGGCTAGCAACGAATGGATCCCCGAAAAGAATCTGGAAAATGCCGAAGAGACCCTTAGAGCCTATAAAGTCAGAAGCGCAATTTGAAATCACCCAATACCTCGACGACATCGTTTTCACCCAGATACAAGACCTGCAACCAATATGCCATTCCCCACATCTACCTACACACTCCCCTACCACTCTACCTTCGAAACTGCCACCCTCGACTCCAACGACGAATGATACGAAACCTTCATCACCCAAGCTGAAGACCTCACCCTCATCGAGGCAGCACTCCTCTGCCCCCAACATGCTATTGAGCTCACCAGAGTTCTCTTCAGAAGAAACGCCCACTCCATTAACATCCTTATCAACATCATCCGAGCCACTGAAATCATCGAGCGAGTCTGCCGCCTCGTCGAAGACAACACAGTTTGCCACAGCCTCATGCATATGCAGAGGCGCATACGCAACTTTGCTTTGCATCTTATTCCTGAGGAAGTTAAAGATGATATTAGAACAGTCATCCACATCGTCGCAGAGCAAACCGCAGGAGTTGCTCGCCCGCCTTCTCCTACGAACCCCGCAACCACAGATGGAGTCCCTCCTCCCTCTTATCAAGACGCCATACCTACTCTTCCCGCTAACATTCCTAATGAGCTATTGGCTGCGGTCAATAATCTTGTGCAGACAACGGAAGCCATAATGGCGTCCCTAAGAGAAGAAAATCCCCAAGCAATTCCCGTCCCCGCTCCCGCCGTAGAAACCATCGAACACCCTCCCCATCTTTATACTGCATTTTCCGCCACCCGCGAAGAAATCGCTGCTGACCCAAACCACCAGTGCCTTTCGCACTACGAGGTGCAAGATCTAGCCGACGCACTGGCTACACTCCATATTCATCCCCCGCTCGTCATCCCGGACTCATTATCTTCGCATACCTTTACAGATGGGATCGTACCGATACAAGCGTTGGGAAGAACCCAACCTGCCACTCCCGCTGAGCTAATCGCAGAGGCAGAGTGACAAGATGTCGCAGTCCACCATCCTATACGACGAACCGCCCCATCCAGAAAGAGAGTACGAGGCCAGCGTTCCCGTACTGATAAAGGGAAGAAACGCGCTACCAGCGCAGATGGAGCACTTAGCCCGAAACCGGGTCCATCGCCCTTACGAGCGACCTCCTCTAACCCCGATGAGAATTGTGTTTGCAGATACTGCAAAACGCTCGGGCATAGGCAAGTTCATTGTCCCGAATACTACTGCCGCGTCTGTCGAGAATTATCTCCAGGCCATCTTTCGCTCTACTGCCCGCACTACACTGGGGAATCCCCCACCTCCTTAACCTGGAAGGACGACGGATTCTACCGAGTACTCGCACTCTGGGAGAATGATTTGGATGACACATATGCCGCCCAATGCAGGGAAGAAGAAGCGCTCTACGAGTTAGAACGCATGAAAGCCGGACCAGACGAAGGTCCAGATGCCCTAGATTACTCGGATGATCCCATTTACTACGCTAATCAGGATGATTGAATCCGGTGGCTTCAACCCTAGTGAGGGGGTAATGTTACAATCACTCTACTTCCTTTGCTTCTCGCGTATCTGCCATTATGCCCTACATTTTCCTTAGCGACTTAACTTTCCTTTCTTGGTCTTATTTCCGTATTCGACTCTTGTACTATCTTCTCACCGTAGCCCTGGTCCATGCGCATATAGTTTCCTATTTAAGCACGTGTACTTTACTTAGGAACGTCACTTCAATCTTACTAGGTTTTACCCAGAAACTTCCTTCGCTTAAGACCACCAATCTTAAGACGTCTGAATCGATCTCTTAGTCGAAGCACTCCTTTGACTAAGTCTACGAACCTCTTCTTATCTGAAGAGCTATACAGATCTCAACAACGTGAACGCTCTATCGAGCCTTTGTTGTTAAGAACTATCCTAGTTCGTAACAATTTCTGATTTTTGCTTTGTAGAGACCACAGTTTGCACAGCCGTCACATGACTTAGATGATTCCATCACTGTCACAACCCCCAGACCGGAACCACGTGACACATCCAACACTTATGCGCCTTTCAAATGGCCTGAGTTCACTAATCTAGTTTACGAAGCAGACGGCTCCATCAACCTCAAGGCTCAGAACACACGCGTACAGATGGTTTTGAAGACGGCTGTCTTTGAACTCAAGAAATCTGCTATCTTCGAGAATGCATTCCCTACTATCACCGAGAAACGAACCATGGCTATGCAAGCAGTCAGTAATGCTGCCTACAAGCATAAAGAAAGGGCTATATTGAAGAGGCTTAAACACGACACTGACTTTGCAGTTGCTCTTGCTAGTATTGTTCGTGTTTGTTTTTGGTATGAACTCGACACTGATGCTCTTGCTTGAAGCCTGAGGGACGGCTTAGTGCTTTCCGCACTGGTATCAAAAAGCTCGCTCATCAAATCGTTGTGTCTCGATTCGCACTTCGGAGAGGTTGTTCCAATGAGGTCGAAGAGCTCCTGAAAAGTCACAAGTATATTTTTCCGACTAACCAAAATGTGAGTGGTTAGTGTCATGTTTCATTGTCGATATTGATGTCACTGCCCAGGGTAAAGTCCTTGGTGATCAACCTTTCTGCGACGAGGCCATGATCGATACGCTACATCAGTCATTGTTCGACGGCGAGAACTCGATCGGAGTTCAATCACATGAAGATTTTGTGTCGGTCTTAGATGGCAATGATGAGCCGGAGCTCCCCATAGCTATGGTTGCCTTGATTGCAACTGTTGTACGTTTTTTATTTGTATTTTCTAGATGAATACTTACTAAATGTGACGGTTGTTGCAGATCTATGCCATACTGATGGACTGGAGGAGCGGCAATCCACCGTCGAGCTCTCAAGTCAAATCATTCAATGCTACTGTCTACATTAGCGTTTACAAAGCCCATGAAGCAACCCTCACTCAGATCTTTGAAGGCGGTAAAAAGAAGTATCATGCGCTGATGACACGGCTTTACAAGGCTGTCTGGTGTGTTTCATCATCCTCTGATTGAATGCCTGCCATTAACATATTATGTTAGTGTGTCGGACAATGTGTTGCTGCCATCTGGTGCGCTGAGCAACTTCGACTACCTCGATCTCAGTGCAATGTCCGAGGATTGAACTAAGGTTGTTGTGCCATGTGCACCCGCGGATACCCATGTATTACTGATCTCACTTTGTACATTTTGATAGTCGTTCGTACATACTGACAGGCCATTCTGATCCAATATAATGTTGATTTTCGTGTATTTTGACAATGACCGACGAGTGAATTCGAACTAATTCATTAGTATTCAGAAGAAATCACTTGGAATTCGAACTAATTCGTTGAAACTATGACCGGACTTAAATAAAACAGTAAAACATGATTTTGCTGAAAATCAAAGGAAAACCAGGGATTTACTGGAAATTACCTCGATTTCGGGGGGAAGGCTTTCCCTGATGACTTTCAAGAACAGCAGCATGTGCTTGATCTCCACATCCTTTGTCCAAATACAGGTACAAAGCTCATTCTTTTCGGTCAGGTGTGAGATGGTGTGTTTGAAGCCGTTCAGAGGCCTACAAAACTCGAAACTGATTTCAATGAATTTTCAGCATTTTCACTATTTTTTAGAACACGTGAGTCGAGACTTTCGGAATCGACTTAACAGTGTGCACCTCACCGTTACTATCTGCTTATATAAGCATTACATCTTGTTGGCGGGCGATCATTACACTACCCAAGGCATGACGAAGGGCTCTCAGTTATCTCAGCTCAAGTCAGCGTTATGTCAAGCGGGGATCAGCAAGGCCCCACAAAATGGAAAGAAGCGCAAGCGGTCAGGATCTATAGATGAAGATAAATTCAAGAAGGCACTTCATAAGAATCCTTTCGACACCAAGGTCACGAAGCTCAAACATGATATCGGCGGACGCAAGGTCAAAGGGTCCAAAGGGAAACCCGCAGAGAGAAAACAAGCGGGTATGGAACAGGTGCGCAAATTTTATTTTCTAGCAGTATCGACAGGTCTCTTACATTGCCTACAATAGCGCGAGAAGACTCTTTTAAAAGAGATCCAAGACAGGCGTCGTGTTGGCGGGGTCATTGACAAGCGCTTTGGTGAAAACGACCCGTCTATGTCTCTTGAGGAGCGCATGCTCGAGCGCTTCACGCAAGAAAGGCAACGAGCTTCCAAAGGGGCCGCATTTAATCTCGAGGGCGAGGAACACCTCACGCACTATGGCCAAAGCCTTTCGAACCTCGACCATTTTGATGATGTCGGTTTGCCTATGGATGAAGACGAAGACGAAGGTGAGCATTCATATATTTTGTATCGAGTATGTTTTCTTTAATTCGTTCAAGGCCAACTCGATCGTGACATCGTGGGGAGGGAACACTTTGGTGGCTTCGGCGATAAGGACGAGACAGACAATCAGGTGCGCCTCTCATACCTTAGAGGAGGAAATGTTCTTTTACTTATCCACTTTCCAGTCCGACCGGAAGAAATCGAAAGCGGAAGTTATGGCGGAACTCATCGCCAAGAGTAAAAAACATAAGGTAATGTATGATACTTTTTACCGGGGACTTCCTAATTTTCGTTTAGGCTCTCCGTCAACTGCACCAAGCGCAGGAAGAGAGTATGCGACATCAACTGGACGAAGACTTCGATTCCTTCAGAGGTCTACTCTTCGCGCCTAACGCACAGATAGCCGATAGCAATGTGGCTTCCCAACCTGGCATTCCCTCCGTCGACATGGACTATGACAGACAGATTCGCGAACTTGCCTTTGATCAACGCGCAATAGCAAAGGATCGCACGAAAACGGAAGACGAACTTGCGCTCGAACAAAAAGAAGCTCTAGAGGGAGCTGAAAGGCAGCGAATGCGGAGAATGCTCGGAGAAGAAGGAGAAGGCGGCGACAACCTCGAGGACGATTTTCCAGGGGATGGATCCTTCACAACTATTGGGTCAGGATTAGTTCGCGGGATCGACCAGGGGGTCGCGCAGGATGACAGCGAGGAGGAGGAAGATGAAGACGAAGGTGTGGGTGTGGATGAGGACGAGGAGACCGACTGTGAAGATGAGAACAGTAAGGCGGAGGAGGGAAGTGAAACGAGTTTTGGCAGTGAGGCAGGCAGTACCTCTGGAAGTGAATTCGACGAAATCACAACAAACCAGAAGTTAGCAAAACTGGAACCACCAGGTGTTCGACATGACCTACCCTTCACTTTCCCTTGCCCCGAGTCACACGAAGAGTTTCTGGAGATTATTGGAGAAATAGATGATACGGATGTGCCTATTGTTGTTCAGCGCATACGCACGTTGCATCACCCAAGCCTTTCCCCGGATAATAAAGTGAAGCTTCAGGTAATGCCTTCCTTCGACAGCTGTGAGCTCAGTTGACATTCTTTGTAGAACTTGACATCCGTCCTTGTTGACCACATACTCTATATCACATCTCCTCCTGCTCCACGATTCACACTCCTGAACTCTATTGTTCCCCACCTCTTTGCACTTTGCCGCTCGTACCCGATCGAATCCGCGGGATTTTTCGTGGAGAAACTCTCGCTGATGCACAAAAATTTGGAACGGGGATTATCGCGGGGAGCTCTTGAACTGGGTGCAAGAACATGGCCAGGACCGGCTGAATTGTCCCTCTTGCGCACCATTGGAGTCATATGGTCTAGTAGTGACATGAGCCATCCCGTCATTTCACCGGCACGGCTTCTCATGGGTGCTTACTTGGGGCTGTGTCGTATTCGGTCACTAACGGACATAACGAGTGGACTCTTCTTATCCTCTATATTCCTACAGTACGAGGGATTGTCCAAACGCCTGGTCCCAGAAGCCATTAACTTTTCTATCAACGCGGTCTTGCACCTAGCTCCGAGCTCTCTTAAAAATGACACGTCAATACCCGGTTCATTTCCTTCCCCCGACTTCCATTCAGATCTGTGTGCACCCCTTGCGATCGACGTCAAGAAGTCCAAGCATCTTGACTTTCGCACACCAAACCTATGTCAGCTCCTGACTGACGAGAATTATCAGGAGCAGGATAAACTTGATCTACTAGGTCTCGCTTTTCGCCTTCTGGACCGGTTTTCAGAAATGTACAAGAGCCTCGACGGTTTTATTGAGCTCTATCAACCAGTTTTAGATATCCTGACGAAACTCAGCATCACAAAACTTTCGGAGGGCGTTCGAGTGGGTCTACATCACGATCGTGCGAAAAGTGAATTAACCACAATTTAGACGCAAGCCTCCTCTTTGCAAGACAAGCTCACTAGGTTATTGAAGTTTGCTCGTCAAGCTCGTAGGCCTCTTCTACTTCAGGCCCACAAGCCAATTCCGATCCCGACATACATACCCAAGTTTGAGCCAAGGTCCTCCTCTTACCTGCGTCGGCAAGATCCAGATCATGAACGTAACGAGGCCTCGAAGCTTCGCTACCAAGTCAAGCAGGAGAAGAAGGGGGCCATTCGTGAGCTCAGAAAGGATGCGAAGTTCTTGGCAGCTGTCGAGCACAAACAACAGGCTGAAAAGGACCGCGCTTACAAGGACCGTATGAATAAGGCGTTTTCAGTGTTGGAAGGCGAGAGAGCTGAACAAAAGGCCATGGATAGAGAGAAGGCGAAAGAAAAGCGTCGATCCGGACGTAAGTAGATTATTTGAATACTAGGTGACCGCAAGCGCGCAAGCTGCCAGGTGTGAGCTCCCCTATTATGGGCAAATTGCAAATAAGCCACGCATACAATTTCCTTGTGTTGCAAGGATGGGTAATCATAGTAGAGGTGCGGCACACTGCACATCGGGTCCCGTCCAAAGGTAAGTATCTCATCGATTGGGGATGCTGCTACCTGTTCATCAGTCCTCCGTTTCATCAGGCATGCCACAGTGTATAAAACAACTCTAATTTTCACTACCGTTCACAGCCCAAATTGATAAGAAAGCTCAAGCAAATCTTGGATAAACAACTAGACCGAATTGGACACAGTTATAGAAGGGGGTTGAATTTTCATATTTCTATGTTTCCAGCTGAGCTGCGCTATGGATTTCTAGCTAAATACTCTAACAAAAACGCCTCTACAAAAGGTCTTTATTTATCAGAATTTGGACAAAATTTGCGCTTCTGGGCAGACCCAGGACGGGATCAGGACAGAACCATTTGAGCCTCCGGCAACGTTCGCCAACCTGGGTTCCAAAGTCGTTATGATTCATCCTTAAGTACCTCCGAGTCGCCAGCTCATTGAACAGATGCCATATCAGCAAAGTTAGGCTTAAACGGAGTACCTCGCTGGCCCCTCGCAATTGCATTTGCCAGCTCAAGCCAGCTCAATCTCAAATATGGCTTGTGCTTGGACGAGTCTGGGCAAGCTTACCCTGTTGCCTACGCGAGCACTTTCAATTGTTCTCAAAGTGCGGTCTTGGTAAAAAAAAGCGTTGCCTTGTTCCATTCCTCCTTCTCATTATCACGGTTGCTTCCAAGTTGTTTCCTTTCTGTGTCGAAAGCGCGACGTCCAGGTGAGTCATAGATCCCTATTTGCAGCCGCTAGCATTTTTTATCTCACCCCTCACCTCTATCTCTATCAAGGACATATTTATCTGACACGTTGCCAATAAACGTGCATTTTATCCATTGAATAGAGCAGCGTTTGCTTATGGAAAGTGTGATCGTGGAGAAATATCTGCGAATAGCATGCATGTCTATCGGGTTTTATGAGCAAGTCTTTGATTTCTTCGTCATGGCCTCGTAGTCGTCGCAATATGCTGATTATGCTCAGTTATATTCTTACACTCCCCGCAGAATGGCGTTTTTACCAAAGCGAATCGTCATTTTTTCATTTAAGGTGTGTGTACGAAACCATTCACATACCACCGTTGACAAGCCCAATCACATCAGTCTTGCCTGCGTTTTATTCATTCTCATACGGTACTTTGTGTCCACATCCCGTTATGCGATTTCTTTGCTCACATTTGATGCAGCTATGTCAGTATCGTGACTATAGTAGTCAGCAATTACGGGTTCTTCTCCACTACCTTTACCCAACAAACCTGTCAAAAATACTATCTTGTTGCGCCTATCTTCAAAGGTGTGTCGTATTGGTATTCACGCACCAGGACTCTAGTGACCATGTTGTAGTCGTACAAACTATGATATCACAGGTCATTCTAGGTGTGAGGTGTGTCCCGTCGAATTGTTCGTGGGTTGTAGCTGCAGATTTAACATACCGCGTAGAACATTCAATATTGCAAGAAGAGATAGGCGGATAGGAATTGCATTATTGCTGCTATACCTCTTCTCAATTTCGGTGAGTTCTTTACTACACAGACATTAAACCCTGTCTCACATTCACTTTAGGCGGAGTGGTTCGTTGATCTATTTCACGGGACCCGTAAGCTCTGGTCAATGTTTTGATCTTGATTTCGCTATTGACCTTTAGAACAAAAAGCTGCCGTCCTTGATTTAGTATGTCATTGTTTCTTACAACGAGATCTCATACAAATAACGTTTTTTTTTTCACAGGGAAAGTGAGTGATTCCTTTACCACAGTGTTCTGTCCAGATCTCCATGAACCATAGCTGTACTTCAGTAAATTCTGCCAGAGTACTGTCAACCTGGTTCTTCTACTTCCCTGTGATGTTGTATGACATCGTGATGGTGACGGTATCTACCATGTATCTTCTGCGTTATAATCCTCTCAGTAGCAGGTGCGCCTTTTCTTCCACGTCTTTAGGGTTGTTAAATCATTGCTGTTAGAGTCGAACGGTTGATACGGGTGTAAGTACCTTGCGACTGACAGAACCGATGCGCGTCGCTCATCATAATTAGTCTGATTTATGACGGCATTGGATATTTTCTCGTGTTGTCCGGCAAGTGTGCTCTGCTTGTGACGAGTACCCTCTTAACACTCCTTCAGTGTCGAACGTATTGAACCTCATCTTTTATCATACGACCAATCTCGAGACTCAGGTACGTAGGCTGAATTATGGATACGCCAAAACTTAGCTCTATTGTATCCACTCGCTTCCATCATTAGTCGGCAGGGTAAGTTTCGCATCGTCTGGCGCCAAGGAGATCAGACTGCTCAGAATGCATCATCAGGGCATCAATAGGTTATACTGTGACCTGGATCATGAGCCAACGGATTCTCATTAGTATACGGGGTGCGCAACATCCTAGAGCTTGACTGCCATCCTGCTTACACACACTCGCAGAAATGACACAGCCAAATGCCCAACACATAGAGAAAGTGATCGTCGCGCGTCAGAGCACGCTCAATATGCAGAGAAGCGTGATGTCCGGTCTCCGCTCACAGTTCGAGTCTAAGAATTACTCCCGAGGCTCTAGAAGCTTAAGAAGCCCCATAAATACAGAGTTCAGGCCCACATCGCCTCGTAATCCCAACGACATGGAACTCAATATACGCGTACCCGTCGAGCGCCCGGTTGCAGTAGACGAGTCTAGGAATTCGAGCTCGCGGGGGCCACCAGTGGTGGAATGAGTTGGGGCACTGGCACTTGGCAAAGCATCACAAGGATCAAACTGCAAAGTATCTACTACGGATGCTGACTACCCAACATACAATGTTTACGTAAAGAACCAGGCTTAGCGTAGGGAGAACCAACTTGAAGACAGATACATAGTCTCACCGAAACTGCGAACGAATACGAATTGTTGTTGGCAGACATGTATATCAAACTGCTGATACAGTACACATCCCAATAATGCATAAATAAATAAAATACAAACAAATCACTAGAAAATCATTCTTGGGCGCAAAAAATTATACATTAACACATCAGGAAAATAACGGATTCATTTTTATGACTTAATAGTAACTTAAAACACATTTAAGGGACCAAAAATGAAAATTCAGAGCATTGCGAGAAAAGTCACAAAAAGGCCACTCGTCCTCTGATTTCGACTTAAATTTCCTTTATACTTATTTGATGGCCATTTTTCAGACATTATAAATGAGAGAACAGCATCTTAGAAACCATTGCGCCGTCTATTAAAAGTCAAAAAAATGTGTAAAAACATGGTATAAAGTAGTAAAAAATGTGAGTCCAAGCAGACACAAAGAGAAACGCAGTGCAAGATAATAGCAAAAACGCAAACCAGAAAGACGCAGACACAGCTCCAAAACCAACAGAAAAGCAGCCTAGGGTAAATGCCGGATGAGTAGTACCACAAGGACGATCTGCACAAGCTCTGTTAATGGGAGTCGTTTGGACGCAAAAAATGAGAAAATACCGAAAGCTAAGTTATCAAACCAAGAGGCACACATCAAGTTCTTCAGAGTCGTCGTCAGAAATGAAGTCTTCAAGTCCAGACTTGGATTTCTTGAGAAGCTTCCAGGACATCAAGGTGATATCACTCATGATATCTTTGCCCTTCAGATGAGCTGACTTTGAAAATGAGTGTGTAGCTGGGCCCCAATTGTTTACCGAAAATGCATGGGCAGTCGAGGTCTCCTTCCCGGTGGCCTTGTTCAACACCTTCGGTGTTTTGACCATGAGCTTGCGTTGCGCCGGGGGAGCTGCAAGTACATCCTCAATATTAATTACATTGTCTTTGATGATCTTGAGGGCACGTTCCAACTGCACAATAAATTAGCTTCATTTTCGAGCAAAGAAAGAAAACTTACCGCAGCAGCAGCTATCCCAACAACACCACTAATCCTGCTCGCAGTGAGAGCCTCAGTGTTAAGCTCTGGAACATTGGCATGGCCAATTGTTGCTTGGAGGTGGCCGGTGGCCACCAGCTGGAGCATAAACGGGGACCAGAAAGTCTTCATCTTGTCAATGACATCCAGGTCTTCATAAAGGAATGCAAAATCCAAAAGAAGATACTCAGCGAGGTCACTGGGGTTAGTGTCATCATTCCGAGCCATAAAGTCAATGATGATGGCGATGGTGGTAGAGCCGAAATTGCTGCGCCACTCAGAGAGGCGTTGATTGGTCTAAAATTAAGTGCATGAGAGGGGGAAAAATGAATGGTAGACAAGCATACAACACCAAAAACAGAGCCTTGCAAGGAGGGTGCGTACTTGACCTCTGGATAGACAACTTGAAAGATATGGTTAATAGCTTCCAGGAGGGCGTCATCACTAATGTTCCAAAGGTTCGGCTGACTTCCTGCCCACAAATAGATGGTCAGAAGAAATACTTTTGGCCAGCGTCCGTCCTGACAAGCAGGAGGAAGATCTGTGTTCCGGTAGGACGACCAAGCCTTGATCATTTCAACCCAAGGGCCATTATCCGCCTGTGTGGACGCCAAGGGAGTGTCTGACAGGTCCGTTTGTTCGGTCTTGACCTTTAACGCGGTCTTGACCTTCTTTGCAGGTGGTACCTTAGCATCAGTAGTCATAACGGTAGTCTGGAGAATATAAGTTAAGTCTGATCTGTATGTGAAAAAACAACGCACCGAGGATGTCGTTCGTGGGGCCTTCTTGATATCAACAACCATGGGTTCCTGCATTCCCTGCAGATCGTCCGAGTCAATCAACATTCCAGTGTCACCGACAAAGCTAAGGCTAGCTAGTGAAGACTCCTCCAGGTCATCAAAACTCTCCACGGTTTTGAGGCTGGGCCCTGACGCCAATTTCCATTTCATACCACTTGCGAATTGGGTGACGTGAGGTTGGTGAGGCTGAGTAGCCAGTGGGGGAATGCCATTCGACTTTTCTGCAGCCAAGTAGCGAGCAGCCTGTAACATACGAAGTTGAGATGACGGTGGGGGATGGTCACTGAATTTTGGCCCAGGATGTAACTATGTGTCCCCAAACAACAATGAACAGTCAAATATTATTTTAATGACCAAAAAAAATGCATACCTTGCTGCCAGGTTCGACGTCTTCAGACTCCGAGTCAGTAACATTGTCGAACTGGAGGATAGGCTTTGAAAAGCATTAGTTTGATGAATTAGAGTAGAAAATAACATACCTCAACCGGTTGTCTTCCTGTCTTCATCACTTCAGATGCAGCCTGGCATTCGTATGAGTCGTTGATGTCTTCATCGCCGAATCCTCCAACCAGATCACTGATAGGAATGGCAGACACATCAGAACCTTTTGCTGGAATGGCTTTGGAGCTTACGCTAGTCACGTTTGAAGTAGCCGTTGTCACAGAGTGGGAGAATATAGTGGATGGAGGGACAGAGGCTTTTGAAACAGAAATCAACCACCGGGAGCCGCCATTTTCGGATGAACAACTTGAAGGACTTGGCACATCTGAAGCCCAGGCCTTGATACGGCCATTATATGAAGATTTGACAGCAGACCTGAATTCCATCATCAAATTAAGGAAGAAGAGTGTCGACTCAGAGAGTAGTAACATGGGAGTTAAGAAGATAACATACATCGGTAAAGAGTTTCCTTTCCTGTCTGTGAGATCAACACGTGCAAGCTCAGCAGCCTTCGAATTCATTGATTTCAAGCACGCATTAACCGCATCTCTGAGTGACTTCTTTCCAGGCTTCAGTTTTGAAACACCCTCAAATGCTTCAACTTTCATGTCATCCTCCCCAATATTTTCCGTCAGCTGGCCCTGCTTTTCCTGACCTTCTCTCTGATCCCCATGTCCTCCACCCTGCACAGCGGCTGCTGGTTGAGGCTGTGATGAAGACATCACCTTGGCTGAAACTGGACGTGGTCTAACTGGCTTTGGCTTTCTGACTGCCTCAGAAGCCTGTGCCTGCTCCATTTTGGCCTGTATATTTGCGAGGCGCTCGATACCTTGCAGGGCAGCTAGTTCCTTTGTTTTGAGGTCTTCTTTGAGACGTTTGTTGTCAGCAGCTATTTCAGCTTTGGTACGTCGTTTCCTAGTTGCATTGAGCACAACCTGACCAGGATAAGCATCAGCGTTATTTGTGCGTGTTCTACGAGCAGTGGTTCCAGCTGCTGAAGACATTTTGCTGGGGTCGGTAGAAGCAAGATACAGATAGCGAGGGATACAGTTGGTGATGGGAGAAGCCCAGGTTAGTAGATTTGACTTTCAATGAAATTTGTATGGTTCATGACCAAATAAACATTGTATTTTCGCAGGCCTTCTCAATCAACTTGAGGACATGAAGTACCTGCCACTGCACATACACCATTCCTATGCCCCAAGATGCTTATTTCTGTCGTTTTCACTCTGTTATAATGCCTGCCAATGCAACAAACTCCTGTCCTTGTCCGGACCACAGTACCCTCCAGCTTCCTTGCAGCCATCCGAGTTGCCAGCAATATTTCAAGACTGCTGCTGGCAGGACGAAACATAGGCTTTCAGCGCATCCAATAATCCCACAACCTGTCTCAGCTCCCTGTCCACCTTCTCCCGAACTCTTGGACCCAGGAAATGACCAGCAGCATGAAGATGATGTTCCTTTCAATGCCGATGAAGTCCCTAGGCCATTGTCTCCACCTGCTGATGTCAATGCAGAATTTTATGGACCGAAAAATCAGTTTTATCGAAATTATCATAAAGGTCTTGATGGTGAGTGATGTTGCGCACTTCATAAAATAAAATTCTAATGTCTGCTTTTGTTTAAAGGTCGACCTTGTGACGAAAATGGCGTGTTTCTTTCTCCAGGCACTCTGCCATCTCCACTTGTTGAGCGTCCTGCTGACGACTGGACACCATTTCGTGATCGGATTGAATTCAAAGCTGCCAAATTCTTATTTTGCAAAGATCAAATGTCCGCCTCCCATATTGACACCTTACTTGACCTGTGGGCCGCCACACTTGCAAAACACGACGATCATCTGCCCTTTGCTAATCACCGAGACTTATATCAGACAATTGATAGTATTCCGCTTGGAGATGTGCCATGGCAGAATTTTGCAGTCAAATTTTGTGGCGACAAACCAGATGTCGACATTCCACCATGGATGAACAGCTTTTACGATGTATGGTTTCGAGATCCACATGAAGTCGTCTGCAACATGCTTGCAAACCCAATGTATGCAGATGAAATGGATTATCAGCCCTACCATGAGTATGCCTCAGCAACCGATGAATGCCAGTGGAAGGACTTCATGTCTGCTGATTGGGCATGGGATCAGGCGGTAAGTTTTTAAATACAGTGCAATATATATATACTTATACACTATCGCATACAGGACGAAATTTCCAAAGATCCTGACACGGTTGGGGCAACCTTTGTTCCCATTATTCTCGGCAGTGATAAGACAACCGTCTTGGTTGGCACGGGCAACAATGAATATTACCCGCTATATCTTTCTATCGGCAATGTTTGAAACAATGTCCGTCGTGCACACCGAGATGTGATTGCTGTCATAGGATTTCTTGCCATGCCAAAAAGTAAGGTTCATTCAATTTTTATGCTAATCACAGGTGCTAACAGTAGGTTTTATATAAAGCTGCACGAGTGCACGCTGAGGATCTGAAGTTCCGAAAGTTTCGTCGTCAGCAATTTCACTCTTCCCTTTCAAAAATTCTTCAGCCCCTCAAGCCTGGAATGACGAAACCTGAAGTGGCTCGTTTTGGAGATGGTCACTTCCATTGTGTTGTCTATGGACTCGGACCCTATATCACTGATTATGAAGAACAGGTCCTGTTGGGATGCATCGTCAAATGCTGGTGTGCAAGGTAAGTATCTCCGAGCCTTACACTACTACTTGTTCCTCATCAACCGGCAACACATTTATAGGTGTCTTGCATCACGTCTTAACCTTGATGATGATGCCTTGGACCGTTGCTGCAAATATGTGGATGCTCTGGTGGAGGAAGGTACTCTATTAGAGATCTGGGATGATTATGGAATTGTTGGTGACATTGTGGTGAGTACATTTTCTTTTGGATACGGTTATTGAATTGCTGGACACCATCATCCAGCACAAGGATCAGTGTCTCTCGACGCTTTTTCATTTATGTTTTGTCTGCCAATCTTCTCTTTTCAAGTTGTGCTAACTTCATTTAACTTCCCAGCCATTTACCAATGATTTCCCCCGCGCTGATATAAACCGACTCATCGCCCCTGATCTCCTTCACCAGCTGATCAAGGGAGCTTTCAAGGACCACCTTGTAGATTGGGTGGAGAAATATTTGTTACTGACCCATGGAAAACGCGAAGCTCAATGAATCATGGACGACATTGACAGAAGGTATGTTTCATTTTTTGTTGTGAGACTCAATCATTCATCATGATATACAACAGAATTGCGGCTGTTGCATCCTTCACAGGTTTACGATGTTTTCCTGAGGGACAAGGGTTCAAACAATGGACCGGAGACGACTCAAAGGCACTTATGAAGGTTCGATTTTCTTAAGTTTCGTTTCTTGCTGCTCATTGTTGGCAGGTGTATTTGCCTGCAATTGAGGGCCACCTTCCACAGGACATTGTACATGCCTTTCGCGCACTTTTAGAGTTTTGTTACCTTGTCTGCCGCAACATCATCACAGAGAAGACCCTCACCGAAATTCAAGATGCACTCACACGATTCCACCACTACCATGAAGCATTTCGAGACGCAGGTGTTGTTCCCACATTTTCCTTACCACGTCAGCACTCACTCAAGCATTACATCCAACTTATACGACTTTTCAGTGCCCCGAACAGCTTATGCTCATTGATTACCAAGAGCAAGCATATCAAGGCCGTAAAGGAGCCTTGGAGACGCTCGAGTCGCTTCAATGCACTTGGTCAAATGCTGCAGACCAACCAGCGGCTGGATAAGCTCGCTGCTTTACGTGTCGACTTCACCAGGTGCAATATGTTGAGTGGTACATGTTTATCTGCAGTCATGATGGCTCTTCATATGTATCAAAATTTATTTGCTAAGTCAATAACACTAATTTTTCCTTTGACAGGATGATTTCAAGACCTTGATGACGCAGGAGGTGGCCATGCTTGTGCCACTGACAGTGCACCTCCAAATGGCTCGAACGCCAATGTTCTGGATGTGGATGAAGGCCACGACGACGGTGAAGTGGACGATGAGTCTACAGTGCTACAAGCAGATGTTCAGCTTGCACTAACACCCCATGTGTTTATCAGATTGATACCTCCTGTTCATTGCTAATATTGCTTTAGAACGACAACATGCGCATGGAATACATTTGTGCATGTCATCAGTGGCGAAACGGACATGCTCGCAATGACTGCGTGTTCGTTAGCACGAAACCAGAGCTCAAGGGCATGCAGGGATTTGACATTGCTTGTGTTCTGTGTTTTTTTTCCTTTACTTTTCAAGGAACAACTTACCCCTGCGCAGTTATTCGGTGGTTCAACACTGTTGGCGACTCTCCTGATGAGGACACTGGGATGTGGATTGTGCGGCCAGCCTATCGTGCTAATCACTCCCCGCATATGTCTATTATTCACATTGATTCAATTTATCACGCAGCACATTTAATTCCAGTCTATGGCACACAGTTTGTTTCTCATGACCTCAAGTATTACCAGTCTTATGATAGTTTCCGAGCTTACTATGTTAATAAGTATGCAGATCATCACACCTTTGAAATTGCTTTCTAATTTACTTCACACTTTTTTCGAGCTTTATATTTGTTGGATCTTTGCACACAATGTCATCTCTTTTTGTGTCTTTTTCGTCTTACCCGCCTGAATTACCATTTCGTAAATATATCCGACTTTTCAAAGATTCACTTCCAGAGGAAAAAGCTGCCGAAAGGTACAATAAGTTACCTAAGTGCAATCAAGAGGTCCATTATTTTCCTGATGCAGCAATATATGGACCAAGCTCATTTCTATGAATGGACGACTTTGTGCATCTCGAAAAGATTGGATCCTGATTTGTTATAATTTTTTATGCATTATGCATTATTGGGATGTGTACTGTATATATAACGAGTGCTTGCCGCTGCGCGGCTCACACTATCCTTGAAGCTTCAAAGCTCGACATGGACGACCTGACATTTAGTGCACAATATCGCACCACCAAGACCATGTTCACTGTTTCCCATGTTCCACGCAACGCAATCTGTGAAGTTACCTGAAGTTATCCAGTTTACCGAGAAAGCACACTACCCATCCTATCACTGCCAGTCACGCCCGTTATCCAGTACAGCTTCACATATCCTGCCTACAAAGTCCAAAGTCTAAAGCTCAAGTTCACACCATTTAATGAACCATTTACTGGCTTCGTCAGAGATGCATGATTTTTGAGAATGCCTAAACATGGCTTCGTCAAAGCTTGATGATCATCACTTGTCGGTGTACTGGGAGAGGCACCTGATATGGAGAATGCCAGTGGGCTGCAACTTGCAATGTTTGCATGTCTCGCAAGTTGCAACTTATGAGCTGTGACACCAATGAAATAGTAAGCACTCAGCACTATGCACAATGAATTTGGGACATAGCGGGAATTCAGATGGATCAATCATCATGTTGACCCAACAACATATATGAAGAAGTCGATCGGGAGATGTTGCCAGGCGGGAAAGGACCTGAAGAGAAAGTAGAATATCAGCCAGCGGGAAAAGCTCATGTAATATTGAATCTCCAGAGGGTGCTAAAATTTCACGACGGACTGGGGTTTATATCTTGTGGCAAATATCCATACCTCATGATGACGCAGTTTGATTTGCACATTTATGATACTGCGAAAGTGAGGTGGAGCGCATTACATTGTTGAGACAGGGAACTTGGCACCATATGTTGTAAGAGATGGAGCAAGGTGGAGAAAAGTCGTGTCAAAAATAAAATATAGTAATCGATTTCCAGCAAGCGGGGCAGAGCGGTGTGCTTGAAGTTTGTGCCCTGGCACGTGAGACGCATGCGGGTGGACGACACTCCAAGGTCATCATAAGATTATATGTTGTGGATATAAAAAGTCTACATAATTGATGAAGGTGAACACTGACTACTGCAGTAGTGGCTGAATCGCTAGTAGACCGTCTCGATCATAGCAAATCAAACACTATATAGGACTGATGGCCTACTGAATCGCAAGCATTAATGGGGTAGTGGTAACCTGGGTCGTTGCCATCGACCCGCCGGGGGTTCGATTCCCTCTTAATGCATTTTTGTGGTTAGTTTTCCTTGACAAAACTGTTACTCTTTGACACTCCAAGTCCCCCCATCTATAATGATTTAGATATCTTTTTCGTTTATTCTTTCTCACGTTACATCGATGGTCAACGGAGGCCAGGGAACGATTTCTCGCTATATCAGTTCCGATAGCGGTGTAGTTGGTTACTGTAATAAAACAGTGAGTCAGTGAACCCCCGTCGTTTTGTCCACTATGGATGAATTAGCTATTGGCTCATATAGGGATCGCTCGTCGTCCTTTCCTACTATTCCTCTCGACATACTTTTCGATATATTTCAGCATCTTCCTATCCAAAGCGTCCTGGCACTACGGCAGGTTGGCGCCCCTGCTTCATTTCGCGGCATTTTTTTTATCTGATTTTTATTTTCTAGACTAGTAAAAGTTTTTATGCTATCACCCGTCTGCGCAGTCTCTGGGCTCTCCTTCTGCGGACTCTTGTCCAGGAACAAAACATCCCTATACCCTACTTCGCCTACAACGCGTTATCCAGTGCTGGGACCTTGCTGTCCTACAACCCGTGTGCATAGCAAAACCGACATACATGGAAGGGCCATACGACCGTGTTGTTATCAATGACGATCCCTCTTCTTCAGCCATGATAGCGATCCAGTCATCACTGTGAGTGTAAATAGTAACACCCGCTCCAACGTTCTTGCTGATGGTCTATCATAGAACGGAAATCGACTTCGAAGGGAAAAACCCCGAGTCAGCATTCGTTTCGCTGAGTACCATTGATGGACTTAGAGAGACTCACCTACTCAGTGGGAGCACGCTCGTCACCCGGCATCCAGAACACGACGGAGAAGTGAGCATATGGGACATCAGTGATCAACCTTGTGAGAAAATACAGTTTGTGAGCCCCTCGCTATCACCGGTTAGCTTGCTTTTTGTGTAATCCCGCACGTCGCTGAGTTCTATGATTTGGCAGTTCCATTACTGCGAAGCTATGCATCTCTGTGACGATTACATAGTAATCATCCGCTGTCAAATTGTCGAGCTCTACTCCACCATTCCCCGACCCAACAACATTGCAACACCGGGAGTGTCAATCTCGTACCCACTCGCACAGCACAGCTTTCAACGGCCCCTACAGTCCGTCTATGTGTCAGGGCAAGTCAACTGGCATGCTGCGCGCTCGCGCCGCTCCTCACCAATCAACATTGCCGTTCGATATAGAAGCACCAATGGCTGGCTGGCGATCACGTTGCATCTTTTCGTACTTACGCCAAATCCCGCGTACATCCCAGGACGAGAGACTTCTCTATATAATCTTCCATACGCGGCGCAGCCCACTCTAGTGCAGACGATAGGCTTACCAGTGTTTTCACCTCAGATGTCGGACGTTGCTCTCGGACGATATGGTACTGTTATCTGGCTTGACAACTATTACGAAGACTGGGCGTATGCGAGGGAGCCTAGCGAGTTCGATCAGCGACTTGCAGGACAGATACTGACGGCTACAGGAGGATTCTCGACTAGCCAGCATGGCTCACATGATTCCATGGTATTTCACGTGCGAGACCGCAACGATTGGAGCGTGGTCGCGATTGATGAGGAGTCTGGGAGAATTGTCGTCGGTGATGTGGACGGTGCGATGACACTCTTCGAATATCTTTAACTTGGTTTCTTCATTTGCTTTTGTTTTGAATATTGTCTCTTGACATGGACATTTTTTTCCGTACCCACATCAAACTCACATTTAACATATTTCACCATTTTCTCGTCTGTCACTTATATCCCTCGTCCATAATATACGAAGTTAGATCCATTGCGGTGGTGTATAATCGTACGTTTCATTCCTGCTAGGTTTCCATTCCGAAAGGATCACAAAAATTCCAAGTCGCAGCCGATTTATTGCAGATGAGGACCTAAAAACCAATGTGCCGTGTCATAATCCCATACCCGGAAAAGTACGTACCGCTGACGGTGTCAGTCCGAGTTCCCTCAGTGTTTTGCTGAACTGATCACGAGAGAATGTTTTCCTATTGGAAAAAGCATGAACCCTCGGTACTGTTTACACGGCGCAACAAGACGCAGACTGACCTGGGGAAACGCTAGGCGAATCTGACTGTTTCCACATCGACGGAAAGCGTTTGGGCAGCTGAAAATTCAGCGACTTCACGTAACGCTTGCAAGATGTATTGGTTCACAAGACGTTCGTAGTCTGTTTTAATCCGCTCATTACCAGGAATATCATGTGCACCTTGAACTCGTCACGAAGTTGTACCCACATGCTCAAGCACACGCTGGACAATACGCTTCCCAAAGCTTGCACACTTGGACGCTGGTGACTGCAGTCACGCATGAAACGACCCATAATTCTTCCACTTATCGAGACCGGTTTTGGCCATACCGGCGTGCATGCGCCTCCCTAAATCGTGCGAGGCCCATTAGATTAATTAAATTATGATCATGAATGGACCCAAAATTCGGCGACTACGTCTAACTCTTTCATTGTCCTTGCTTCCCTCGCGCCAGACCCTAAGTGATGAGTAGCCTGATCTGTACCAACATCTACGAGCTCATCCCTGACCAGTAGGATGCGCAGGCCACCCGCTCGTACAAATCCTGTCCGCATAGGCAGGAAGGTAAGTTCAAACTCTTGACTACCCTCTGCCTTCCTCACATCATCATCTGATGAGTCCTGATGATGACTGGCATGACTGGGATCAGTGAGCGTAATGGGGTTCAGGAACTGCGTGGATGACCCAACAAATACACAGCCTTTCAACTTTGCGCGTTTCTCCTCATCCGCGAACTCAAAGTAAGGGGGTGGCAATGTGGGTTCCCCACGTGTGAGAATCTTCTCTGGCGAGATAACCAAGAGATTCTCGCTTGCCATGTTGGGAGAATTTTGTACAGAGGTAACAAGCGTTGATGTCGCAGAAGTGAGGCCCAGAGACGAGAACCGTGAGCTAATTGTCTCGGTGGCCTGGAATGGTTCAGGGTATGCAATCACTGTAGCACGCGGATATTGAAGATGTTGTACAGCAAGAGTTATAACCCTTTGTTTCCCTTTGGCCTTTGGTAGAGCAGCAGAAACAGTGGCAGTGAAAGCAATCTTGAAGGGCCGTTCAACAGCGATAGATTCCCTGGCAATATGGTTTACGATAACCTCGACCTCGACGTCCAACACGGAAGCAGGCGCCGGTGGTGCTGGTTGTTGTTGATTTGGTGCGATAGGCATGTTGGACATAGATCCAGCTGCTGATGATTGCGGGCGCGTGCGGAAGGGTGAGCCTGGTCTGTATGGAGCCGGGGTTGGGGAACTAGGTCGAGAAGGGGGAAGTTGTGGAGATCGTGGTCGGGCGGGCGATGATGGTGCACTTGGCACGGTGCGCTGAAGATAAGGCGGAAGCGCTGAAACAGGGTGCTGGAGTGGGGGAGCTGGAGTTGGAACTGGGTTCGGAACTGGAGTGGGGCTAGGAAATCGACGGGACAACATCTACGTGTCAAAAATAAGCGATGAAACTACTCTTTTGGACGGTGATCTCACCGAAGTTAATAAACGCCCAGGCTCGCCGAACTGAGAACGCCATGAGATGTCAAGTCTACCGAGAGGGATGACACTGCCTGCTGCATGAACGACAGGAAATGAGGAAGACGATGTTGGGGTCAGGATATAGATATACTGTCGTATGGCTTGTGGTTGCATGAGAGCCATCGGATCAGAGAATAATCTCCGATCCTTATCATCATCTGTCGTGTTGGCATCGACAACACTCCATCCCTCCGCGCATTCAAACACCATGCGCTCGAACCACATCGTATCCTGTGTTAAGTTTTGGATGTGGACTTCGAGAAATATTTTCTCGCGCTCTGACGAAATCATCAACGCTGACGGAGACCGAGGTGTATGTACCTTTGTCTTTACAGAAAGAGGGTTGGTAACCTGGCGCGTTTTCAGTCGAAATATTCAAATCGCCAGAAGTCCTATTGAAAATAATACATACAGCAAACTTGTAAAACTTGCGGAAGGTTGCTTCATTGGAGGGATCATTAGCACCAGAGGACTGGCGGTATGACGGAGGCAGGTGATACGAGACGATACAAGCCAGAACATGGTGGCCCAATTCCTTCACCTCGTGGTGGGCCACATATTCCAGTGAATCTCCTATTGCGAGCTTGAAACCTGGGCCACCAAGTTCAGCCAATAGTATCTTGGAGTTTGCTGTCTGGATCTCAACGCAGACACTGACACCCTCGACGTCGATATTGGTCTCATTGTTAATGCATATGCAACTGGAGAATGTTTCGCCTAGCTGAATGGCTCCGAACGAGGCGGGAAGCGTAAGGAACTCAGATGCTTGAGTAAGATCCCGTAGGGTCTTGGGGTGGCCTTGGAGAGGTGTCTTTCCTTGCAGAGAGAGAATGGACGCAGTAGAGTGGGCAGAGAATGAAGGAGAGCTGGAATAAAAGGGCTGCCATGCGCTAGCTAGTGATGGTCTCTGTCATTAAGTACCAGCATTGATCACCACGTTGCGCGCTGAAAGATTGTCCACCCACAGATACCCGCATCACTTTCAGTGATAAAAGATGCCCTTGCGCATCCATGTTCGTTGCGGTGGCCGTATATGAGCACTTGAGCTGTGGTAGGCCAGGACCTAGTACTGAAGTGTCTACAGTCTGAATACCGTCTACTAGTACTTTGCGCTGAGTGTTGTTTGTTCATATTAGAATTCAAAGCCATCGGCTATCCTCTGTCGGAGAACCTCCGGAGAGACCTCATTCTGCAGACTGGAGGTCAACCGGAGACAATTGGTTCTGGGAGTCATGACGCTGACAAGGTGTAGGATAGCCGTAAAACATGCATGTAGTCGGGTCTGTACTCTAGTTACAGTTATATCATGCATGGACCATCAGATGATTATAGCGCAAAATAAATAAAAGATAGAAAACGTATAAAATATCAAAGTTCTTGCTGCACAATTTTCTTTGCCAACGCCTTAACATTGTCGGCACTGGATCCTAGTCTGGTTGAGCCTACGGCTGCATCTACCATCTGTTGTCCGATACCAGGAGGTGCCCTCTTCCATTGTGTCACTCTCAGCCCAACTCCAGGCATTGTATGTCGAGCGATGTACCGCACCCAACGGTCGACGACCTCAGGGTCTGCATCCCATGCTTTAATTGCACGTTTGTGCACCTTCCGCTCGAAGTTCTCTTGACTCTTTTTGTGCACGAACGGACCACGAGGTACAGTCCATAGCGAGCGTTGTGTTGGCAAGTACACCGGGCGTGAAATTGGGATGCCTAACGCTGCAGCTGCATGTCCTACAAAATGCATGTACAGTTCAAGAAATTGTGGGTGATATGCGCGGAACTGCAGCTGAGCGACTGGAACTGAATGAGTGCGGGGGTGGTATGACGGGGGGTAGAGGCTACGTCCATGAATAACCATGGAAGAAAACTCTTCTTCTGTCAATGGTGCAGGAGCCTCCGATTCCAGCTGTCGAGTAGCACTGCATAAAGGCTGATATCATTCAGCTGCAAGACACATAGTGAGCAAGCACATACACTGAGTGGCTGCTGCTGCCATTAAACCGCACAAATCTGGCTATAGTTGGCAGAGCCAGACAAGATCGTCGAGGGAACATGTCTTCAAGTTCGCGAATCACGTTCAATTCAGTCTATGGTCAAAATATTGAACCCGGCGAATGCCGGATCATACCCTTGAAACCCTCCGATTCATGAGGTTTGGAACGAGGCTCAACAATAGACCGCTATGTCTTCCCATGACAGTGACCCATTTTATCTCAGGCGGGTGTGCTGCTAATTCATGAAATAATTGAGCTGACAGGTGTTTTCAGATACTAGTAAATCATGATGAATTCCGTTTTGTGATGTCGCTAAATGTTCATGCAGCACTGGCCATTCAGGAAAACACGGCCATGAATTCTTGGAGTTTGAGTACTCCCATGGTCGTCTTCGATATGCCAACAACTCGAATTATAGGAATGACAGCTTGATCCGTAAAGAAAGTCGGTGGTTCATTTTGCGTCCCGCTCGAGTGCTGACCCAAGTCCTCAGTGTGGGTAGGGCCTTTAGTGGTCAAGGAGCTCAAGCGCATTGTGGAATCGAGTGAAATCACAAAGTAATCACAAGCTGTGCCCCATTTTTGACCTGCTGACTGGCCTTTTAGGGAAGATGATACGAACTGGCCGAAAAAAAACATCGTTGGAAAGCAAGAACTTGAGATACGTGTAGGCAATGACCACATTGCCTTCGAGGTACGTGATTAGCAGTATCTCTACAAATGGTATCTCATAACTTATTCGTCACATTTAGACTGCAAAAATCGGGTCACTTGTTGATATCCAAGACAGCGAGGATCCTGAAGGACTTCGTGTATTTTACTACCTCGTACAAGATTTGAAGGTGTGTTTTCGCCTACTTTCCCTCACACTATCTTACAGCCATCTGTAGTGTTTGATATTCTCCCTTATTTCTCTTCACTTCAAGATCAAGCCTATCTAGCTATATTCGTATCTCTTGGGCCAGGTCCAAATAACGCACCAGCAGCACCACAAATATTACCTTTGTATCGCCTTAAATTTCAGGCAACACTGTTTAAATCACTGTCCTTCTAATGCAAGATACATAAGTCATCGCATTGTGGACAGTTCATTTCAGGAGCTTCAGCGAAGGAAAAGTGCATTCTTGGTTCAAGTTTACGCCTCAAGTCGAAAGCGGTGTTGCAAGTACGAGGTAGCTAAGAAGAAGGCAGTAGTATGAAACTTGATTCTGTGTACTGAACTGGGAGAACGATACCAGGTCAGCTGTAGTCTACTCAACCCATCGACTAGCGTCTGTGGATCCTACTTCGTAAAAGTTGATCTATAGAATCTGCAGAGCATATGTTAAGCGTACGATACTATACAATCAAACACCCTTCGCCAATACTCTCTTTAACTCAGCATTCCGCTTCTCCAGGGTCTGAATCTTTGTTTGTGCGGAACGCATCTTCTTCAACAGGTATTCCCTCCGCTCGGATGTTGCTCTACGCCTGAACCACCAAAATGACCGCTCCGTTTTTGAGAGGTCCTGAAGCGTGCTAAGCTCAGACTCGCATGTACGAACGGTACTTTCAGCGCTCGAGATAACTTTGTCGTTGAGCGCGATGTCTTGTGTGGCTTGGAAGACAGGGTCTGACGTATCGTTAGTGAGAGAACATTAGATTACAATCGCATTGCCGTTACCGTTCACAAGTCTCTCGAAGACATATTTGAACACGGGCTTTCCGGGACGTATCGTGGATGGTCGACCTGAAAAGGATATTAAATAGCGTCCCCCAGCCTGAAATATTGACAGTACCATGTCGTGTGCTGATAGATATGATCTCAGCGTGTTCCATGACACGAAGCGGCAGCTCGTCTCCCTTGAAAGGCACATCGAGTAATACTTCATAATACGGCAGCTGACGAGAAAAGTGAGTAACCTGTCGACTAGCACAGGAGTTGGTTGATTACCTCAGCTCTGCGTGCCAGCTGCTTGAGCACAGTCCACGCCTGCTCCCTGGACCACGGCAAACTCTTAGCGTCGTCGATGTCCTCTCCAAAGGCCTTCTTCCTCAGTTCTCCGACACCGTCAGCAATGATATCTTCTACCGCTTCCTCGATGCCTTGATTACTGCAGACTTTGTGGATTAGCTATATGTGAGGAAGGTATCAGTATGCGCATCAAAAAGGCCACAGATAACTTACACGTTCAAGGTCGCTCGTGCGGCCGCCAAGGTGTTCGATAGCCTTCTTTTGTGCAGGCGTGAGATCCGAAGTGATACCAGCATCGTACAGGCGTCGGCGGACAAAGGAGAGTGCAGTGGGGGCATCAGCATCATGAAGGGCAATAGAGTTCAATGGCTTGGAAGGCAACGCTGCAGCGTCATATTAGCAATACCTCATATGGGTGTAGATGAAACACATACCCCGGGCCAGTAGCTTTGCATCCTCGCGGTTGTCGCTGACTACGATAACATGGGCAACCTCGAAAGACATTAGGAGCACAATTGACAAGTGGAGTGATGCGAATCACCTGATTCTCGGCGAGGGACGCTGCCCAATGCGCCAAAACGCCGAGAAGTTCTTCTTTGTAAACTCCTCCCCGTGCGGCATAGTTTTTGATGACCACAATCGGTAGCGTACGCACAACTTGCACGTCCTCTGCGTGCCGGTGTTGTTGTCTTGCTAGCTCCTGGCTCGTCTTCTCCCCTCCATCACTCAAGTTTACGACATCTTCCTCTATCACATTGAAGCCCGCAAGCCCGCCGTCGTCACCCTCTAGTAACTCGTCGCCCACCCCAAGCTCGCTTATAACGCCGTTTCCGGCAATACAGTCCAGCCGTGGATCGTGCCATGTCCCGGCGCGAATACGAGCGCGAGTTCGTGCTTCTTCGGCTCGTCGTGCTTCAGCTTCTTGTGTTGCTTTAACAGCGCGCTGTGCAGAAGTGCGAAGGGAATGATTGACTTTCTTCAATGCTGTGCCTGTGACTTCAAGTATTTGTTTCAGCTGGTCTTCAAGGGAAGACTTAAAGCCCGCTAGAAAGACATTAATTATTCCATTAACAAAGTGGAGAGAAGTCAATCAGGTCACCTTTTTGCCCGATTAGGCCAACGGTCGCAATGTCCACCATGTTGTTGACGGAGTTCAGGAAAGCAAAAATTGGTCTGTAGCCGGTCTGCTGTGCGAGTGCGGAAACGAGACGCATGTCTGATGTCGCTCTATTGAGCTCAGCACAATCGATCACTAAAGTTTTTCTGTAAAGCATGATAAGCCGTGTCTAGATGGACATAGCGTATTACAAACCTGCCCGTGTCGCGGATGATAGCCTCGACCATACGCGATTTGCCACTGCCCTGGGGACCATGCACGAATGCAACGGTAGCTATTCAAAATGTGCTGTCAGAATTTTACATTGGAAAATGGGTGAGAAACTTACAAGGTAGGTCAGAGAGGTAGCTCCGCACAGCGCTTTCTGCATCCTTACGCTCCTTCCAAATGTCTCCCTGTGGAGAGACGTCTTCACGAGCCAAGCTCGTGAGGGAGAATCGGTCCAAGGCATTCGCACGAAGCCATTTATATAATTTATATTCTGAAGTGAAAGAAATAAGTTAGTACGTTCAATGACCGTGATTGGAAATACTTGCCGCGATAATCGAACCAATTGAGCATCTTCCCTTCAACAGAAAGGACTCTTATGGGATCAAATATCTATAACAAAATTCTAGCTCATGGATAAATCGGAGAAGAGTTCACGCACAGTGTAAGTCAACGTGCCGAGTAAAAAAAATATGATCGGCAACACAATCCTGGGATGCGAAGTCAGCCAGTCTCGGATTGCATGGGCCTGGATGGGACGTTGATATACAGTCTTCAGGCGTGTTATTCCATCACCATCGGAGAATGTGTATCCATGGATGGTGTTCCGTGCGATGGTGGCGGAGCGTACGCGGTGAAACAGAATATCGGAGGAGCGGAGTGTGCCTGCAGGAACGGGTGTAGGGGAAGTGATATTCTGTATCCGGCCGCACGACTGGCATAGGGTAAGGAGAGGTAAACTTATAAATGAGTGAACTCACTCGAAACAGACTATACAAGGCTTCTTCAGGAACATCTGGGCCCTGGAAGGACACGTGGACGATTCCTGACGGATATCGGTACATATCCTAATCGCTGTGTTTACATTCTCGCCAAGTAACTTCTACTTGCGAAAACGCACCTCAAGAAACGGCTCTCCCTTCACGAGCCAAACATTACAGTGATTAAGTCCCGACCAAGAGGGGAGACCACCATGCTTAGTAGCTTCAAGTTGGAGATCCGTCTGAAGCGTTTCGAGTGCGGTCTGGTGATCACGACCAGTATAAGTGAAGCGCACAAAGACACCACCATCCTTCTGATAAGGCTGGAGCTCGTGTATGTGGAAGTCATGCGTCTTTACAGTCTCTAGACGCTCATGCAAGCGCTCCAAGAGGTTTTCCTCGCGTAATATGCCAATGTAGTGTCGAAGACTGCGTGGGTTTAGTTAAGGTAAAAGGTGCGGTTGAGTGGTACGAACTCCCAGATACCCAGGCGAATAGGGAATACAGAGTCGATGAACAACCATCGTTCTTGAGACTATAGATAGTGATTAATGTCGAGAACCCATGGTCTCGAAGTCACTTACGTCCCCGTCCGATTTAGATGTGCTCGCTGTCTCTGGTGTGTCCGGTGATACACGTGTGCTGGTATGTATTCGTCGTGTCTTGTGTGACAAAGAGCGCAAATTTCGAGCAGCCAAGTTCAACGGACTTTTTGAATACATGCTGTAGCCTATCAGATGCTTACTAGGTGGCCAAGCTAGCTACTAGCAGATCATCGACGTCAATAGTATCGGAATCATTTACCGGTTCCTTATATTATAACGTAATGACCCGCCGGGCTGTGTGATCGTGGGAGAGTATCGCCTCGTTTGTGCTCTTGTGCGGATGAAACGGAGCAAAGTTTGCATCCCGTGAGGGTTCTCCACGCGCTGTAGACACTGTCAGTTTGTGCGCACAGGACGACAGCGACCACTGGATCAAAATTGTTCTCGTCAACGCAAACAGTGATGAGCACCTATACCCAAATACAGGCCCGTCCCCCACCAGCTGCACTAGGACGCAAAAATTCGTTCTTCGGCGCCATCAAGAATATTGTCACTGCCCCACTCTCATGGTTTGGTGGCAGCGAAGAAGACTTTGGCGATAGCGACGCCAGAGGAAAGCGAAGGCGGCTACCCATTGCCTCTGAGCAAACTCGCGATGACTCTGACTCTGACTCGGAGCAACGGACCAAGAGAATGAGAATGGGCAGCCCCAACAGAGATAAGCAACCATACCTTGATCCCCCCAGATCAGCCTTCATACAGCATCATAAGACATCTGAAGGTGTATGCATCCAAAGTCACCGTCATGTTTCGCCCTCGTCACGAAAGGCCCTCCGTGTACCTACTGCCACACCTCGCAATAGACGCACGATGTCCCCTTACCCAAGTGGATCGCAGCTCAAGGCACAGCTGTCTGTGCGTACAATGTCTCTTGATCCTCCATCTGGGTTAGGTTACTCCGATTCGCCAGCCCGGTTGCAGCCAGTTCCCACTATGCAAGATCTCACCGAGGAGAAAGATGCCATGTCCATCAGTAGGGAACCGTCCATGTCAAACCTTCGTATGCGTACGTCTGTTACACCCCAGCCCTCAGGTTCCGATTTCGGCCCCGTCATTCCCCCTCGCCGGGAGCGCGATCCAACTGAACCGCCACCACTTACGACATTGATGTCAAACCCCATGTTTGTCAAGCCCCCGCCTGGCTTGCAGAAGCTCACAACTGCGGAAATGACCAGACAAGCAACTCTTGGCTCATTGTTAGACTCTCAGCGTAAGGTGAGGATTTTTCTCTTTTTGTTTCTTTTGTCGTAGGCGTACTTTTGACACGAATTTCTCAGCAAACCCATTCACCTGTCCGACGGGGGTCTGTTCTGTTTGGCACAGGATCCATGACAGACATATCCGCTCGTACGTATGCCCATATTCTTAATCGCTTTTGATAGTTGATTATCCTGCAATAGCCCATCTTTGGCCGATCAACCCCGCCGAGAAGGCCCTGCATGAGCTTGAAGTATACAAAACTCCCCTTCTTCCCTCCCGCCTTAAGGGTGCACCGATCCCGGATACTTTTATATCCAAGAAGAGCCGCCCTATCACTCTCATGCATGACAGGGACCGAGAGCGTAAGAAGGGGAAAGGCAAGAACAAGATGAAGGATCGAGATGGTGTCAATGGGACAAAGCCATACGCGGGCGAGGGTGGCATGAAAAAGTGGCTGGCAAGGAGAAAGCGGGAAGAGGAGGCGGTGCGAGCGTATGAGGAGGCTGATCGAGAGAAGGAGAAAGAGCGGACGATGGAGGAGGACGAAAGTGCTGAAGCTGAGGCTGAAAGGTTGAACGAACAACAAAAGAAAGTACAGGAGGAAGAGGCACAACTCAAGAAACAGATGGAGGTTGCGGTAGTTCCGAAGGCGCCTGCATTCGAGCCGAAACTCAATGCTACAAGAGAAATGTCGTCTCTCCGCGTTGGACGCTCGCGGATGCGCAATCACATTGAGCGCCCGACAGCAAAGCGCACAAATAAATTCTCTGCGGCGTTTGAAGATGACGAAGATGTTATGGATGATGAAAGAGCCGCACTTGAGGAGGCTGCAAAGAATGTACCCATGTTCGAAATCCCTGCTGGGTTCACTTTTGCAAAAGAGGTAGATCATTTTTATGGCGCTGATGAATAAACGATCTCATCATTTTTGCAGACGTCCATATCTCATGATATCACAGGTGCAAAAGAACCTCCCATCGGCGCGCTTCCGTTTTCATTGTCTAACCCGACTGCACCTGCGGCTAAGCCGGTCCCAGCACCCGAGCCCTCTGTAACCCCCGCTCCAGCAGTCCCTGCCATCTCGTTTGTTCCTCCTACCCCACAGCCGCCCAAAACAGAGGCGCGTACTGAGCTCGCGCCCATTACAGCTGCCCTTCCCACAAGTGCCTCTAGTATTCCCAATTTCTTTGCTGATACGACTGCGTATACCAAGCCGTTGGCCTTCACTACTCACTCGGGATCTTTTGGCGCATCCCCTCCTGTTCGTGCACTCACACCGGCACCGGCACAAGTGCCAGAGGCTCCAAAGGTCACTGAGGCATCTACTTCCTTGTTTGGTACACCTGTAATTGCTCCTCAAATATCTGCCACACCATCCTCTGCGCCTGCTACGATTTCTATGTTTGGAGCAGCTACTCCGTCTGCAAGTACTCCAATTTTCGGCCCTTCTTCCACTAGCACTGGCACGTCATTTGGTGTTCTAGCACCACCAAAAGCAGCGCCTGCAGCGATAGAGTTGACGCGTGTCGCTTCCCCCGTCATTTCTCCGCCGCAGCCATATGCCTCTACCCCTGCACCGTCCTCTTCACCATTTTTGTTTGGTGCTTCAACTGCACCTGCTGAAATCGCCCCTGCCAAGGAAGTTCCAAAACCAGCGGAACAAGAAGCAAGCAAACCTCCGTCGCTCTTTGGAGCTACCTCGCCTGCCGTTTCCTTCGGCTTTGGCACACCCGCCGTTTCTGCACCTGCAGCTGAGCCGTCCAAGCCTGGATTCTCTTTTAGGGAACATGCGCCGACGCCTGCGATGACAGAGCCATCGAAGAGTGCTTTCTCATTCGGCGGGCCCGCATCTTCTACTACCCCTGCGCCCGTATCTGCTCCTGTGATAGAAACTTCCAAACCATTTTTCGGGAAGCAAGACACAACCTCGACGGCTGGCTTTCCGTTCGGCCCACGCCCCAGTACTGCGCCCGCAGAGGAGAAACCTGCCTCGGTGCTTCCGCCTTTCTCATTTGCGTCTGCTTCGCCTGCCCCAGCTGAGAAGAAGCCATTCACCTTTGGTACCCCTTCTCCTGCGCCACCAACTACTTCAGCCAAGCCATTCAGCTTCGGGCATGCCAATGCGGGCAGCAATGCTGCTGACACGAGCAAACCGTTCAATTTTGGGCAGTCTGCTTCTGCTCCTGCACCTGTGCGTCCTGCCACGCCACCAAAAGCAGACCAGGAGATTAGCATGGATGAGAGCCCGAGTCGTGACATGAATATCAACGGGAAGGCGCCAGAACGGCCAATACTCGATTTTTCTTCTTTCACTGGTGCCAGCAGCACTCCCGCAGGGAGCACCCTCTTCGCGCAGAGCCCTGCTACGGCAACAGGTCCTGGATTCGGGTTTGGTACAGCTAGTGCCAATCCATTCTCGAAGCCAGAGGACAAGGAAAAGCCGGGGATGGCGTTTGGCTCCGGGAACTTTGGCCAGCCTTCTAGTTCAGGCTTTGGATTTGGGCAGGGCGCAACTGAAACACCCGCCCCAGCATCTACAGTGCCATTCTCGTTTTCGCAGGCAGCATCACCTAACGTGGCACCGACCTCAGGGTTTGGATTCAACCAGACCGCAAGCAACGCATTTGGGCAGCAGCAAAGCACATCGTCAGCACCATCCAGTCCATCGACATTTAACCGCCCAGGGACATCATTCTCTTTTGGCACACCCGCGTCTACGCAGCCTGCTGCATCTTCATTTGCGTTCGGGGGTAGTCAGCCTGCGTCCCCGGCCACCCCTTCTGGCGGGCTTCCACAGTCCTCAGGTGGTGCGTTTACATTCGGTCAGTCGGGTGCAGCGCCAGCTGCAACGCCGAATTCATTTGCTCCTACTGCCGCTTCATCTGGTGGAGGCGCTCTATTTACCATCGGTGCTGCTCCTCAGCCTGATGGAAGACAAATCAAGAAGCTCCCTCGTCGTGGAGTTGGGAGACGTTAAGCGTCTATGAGACCTTTCCTTTTGGTAACCCATAGGCTACGGACTTTCTCCACAGAAAATTCTTCTCCTCTAGTCTTGTCTTGTTTCATCTCTGCTTTCAATTGCGCTACCATCATCTCACTCCACCCCGACCAATTCTGATGTCAAGCATCAACCAGCGTGCACCTAGTATGGTGCACCTCTTTACGCATCTGTCTCTTTGGGTCTTCAGTAGTCAGCAGCTCGTCCCTGCTCGTCCTGTAGCGCACAACAACATTCACCCAGAGGAACTATTTCATCGGCACGCATGGATGGCTCAAGGCCACCACACGCTTATCTCCATGACACAAGTTTGATTATACACATACTCACTGGGCTCAAGGCCCGTAGACACAATCACATAGTTATCTGCATCATTAGCTTCTACGTGCAAATGTTTTCGTTGTTAGTGGGAAGTGGTTCATATAATGTTAATAACTCTTCTGCTGTTATGACTCTAAAGCAGTGTGTGAATGAGTTGACGGCGCGTGACGCGTGAATTTGATACAATCTTGAACGCGTTCCGCGTCCATCATGCCTCGCGAAATAGTGACAGTCCAGCTCGGTCAATGTGGCAATCAAGGTGAGCTCTCTAAGCCCATTCAAGCCTCAGGCATTGATCTAGCGATTGAAAAAAAGTGGGCGCTGTGTACTGGCAACGCCTCTGTGCTGAACACGGAATCAACAAAGAAGGTATCCTCGAGGAATGGGCGACCGAAGGTGGAGACCGCAAAGATGTTTTCTTCTACCAGGCGGACGACGAGCATTATATTCCACGCGCGATCCTTGTCGACCTGGAGCCTCGCGTACGTACTCCTATGACGCGTTGCAACTGATCTCCTAACTATGCATTGTCTAGGTTATCAACAACATCCTCACCTCACCGTGGGCGAATCTGTACAACCCGGAGAACATTTTTATGTCGAAAGATGGTGGTGGCGCTGGAAATAACTGGGCGCATGGGTATGCTTCTGGGGAGAGACTGTATGAAGAAGTCATGGAAATGATTGATCGAGAAGCTGAAGGGAGCGACTCTCTGGAGGTGAGCATTAGCTTCTGTTTTGCCTTGGTCTTTGTATGTCCTCATGAGCTGTCTTACAGGGCTTCATGCTCATGCATTCAATAGCAGGCGGCACGGGTTCAGGATTCGGTTCCTTCATTCTCGAGCGTTTGAATGATAAGTTTCCCAAAAAGCTCATCCAAACATACTCTGTTTTTCCAAACGCCAACGAGGGTGATGTCGTGGTGCAACCTTACAATTCCCTCCTTACCCTTAAGCGTCTAACGAACCACGCTGACTCTGTCGTTGTCCTGGACAATGGCGCATTGGCGCGGATATCGGCAGATCGGCTGCATGTTCAAACACCTACTTTTGACCAGACTAATCAGCTCGTGAGTGCGCAAACAGAGTGATATTGTTTGATTGAGCCTGATCATTGCCAAGGTCTCTACAGTCATGGCTGCGAGCACGCAGACACTTCGATATCCAGGATATATGAACAACGACCTTGTGGGCATAATAGCCTCACTCATACCAACTCCTCGATGCCACTTCCTAATGACCTCGTACACACCCTTCACAAGTGATCAAATCGACAAGGTTCCTACTCCTCTATGTCTTTGGTGCACATATTTACTTATCTCCCGTATTATCAGGCAAAACCAATTCGTAGAACAACAGTTCTTGATGTCATGCGTCGTTTGCTTCAGCCAAAAAACCGCATGGTGTCCACAACCCCAAGCAAAACGGCCTGCTACATCTCGATTTTGAATATCATCCAGGGAGATGTCGACCCAACGGACGTACGATTCTCATCATTTGTTATTCATTTGACGTTCTGCTCACTCAGTCTGTCATGTAGGTTCACCAATCACTTCTGCGGATACGAGAACGTCAGCTTGCGAACTTTATACCTTGGGGACCAGCATCGATACAGGTAGCTTTGACGCGTCGTTCGCCATATGTCACGACAAATCACCGCGTCAGCGGACTCATGCTTGCTAACCACACGAGTATTGCCTCGGTAGAAAAACATTTTCGTACGTCTTCACTCAATGCTAATTTTTGTTCTGTAGCTATTCAAGCGGATGCTCGACCAGTTTGACCGGCTCCGGAAACGAAATGCATTTTTGGAGCAATACAAGAAAGAGAAAATGTTTGAGAATGGATTGGAAGAATTTGATGATGCGAGGTGTGTGACTTTTGAAGTCTACAACTAAGAATTTGATTGACTGGCGGCCCATTAGAGCGACTGCAGAGGAGTTGCTCAAAGAGTATAAGGCTTGCGAGAGTGCGGATTATATTACTTATGTAAGTTCTTTTGTTCACCGTTCATTGTGTCTGCGCTCAGGTCAAGAATTACAGGGGGCGCCAGACGCAGAACAGGGTTCATAGTAGGATCGGAGCGAAGTTCATGTATATCATTCGCTTGTTGTCTGATGGCTGCTTGTATTTTGTTCGATTTCCATTATGCTCAGAAACGTTGTAAATGATGTTCAGTACAATACTGCGAAAAGATCTAGTGATAACAGACAGAACTACACATGTAATAGCAATCCACACCGATATGTATCGATATAATGCGACGACGGAGGGGTCAAATCACGACTTCTTCGGCCCCTCCAGCTTCTTTCCAATATCCGCACCTATAAACGAGCATCATTTCCAAATGGTGCTTGAAATGGGACGTTTGTACTCACCACGAAGCTTGACACCCAGAATCCTCTCGAACTTGCCGAGGACCGCAGGATTAGGGATAGCCTTCCCGGATTCGTAGTCTTGTATTACAGAAGGCTTCTCGTTCGTCTTCTGGGCCAGGTCTTTCTGAGTCAGCTGCTTGTCCATGCGAGCCGTTTGGATGGCCTGCGTGCTGTGTAAGCGTCCACGTGACGGACTACGAGTCAGTACTGACCTTGCCGACGCTTGCGTTGACTTTTGGTGGAGGAGCGACTTCGTTCTCGCGGTCAAGCTTGGCTATGCGTTGGTGATCTGGCCCTGAATGCCACACAGTGAGTAAGTTGCGTGATACTGACTGACTTGTGTGATGACGCACCTGGACGGGCTTTGTTCCCACCAGCGGTGACCTTCTTGTCTGTAGCAACGACAGCTCCTGTTCTGCGCGCCTTTTGAGGTTGTCAGTCAAAGTCAGTTGATCTGGAAGTAAAAAGTCGTACGGCTAAAATTTGTGATTCATCAAGTATTTCAAGTACAAATGACTGTACCATTACTTACCATTTAGGTCCGACGCATTGCGGGTAACTTTGGGGGCCTTGGCCTTAAATCCGATGACGGTCTTGCTGTCCCATTCCATGTTGCTCATTATGGCTTTCCTGCAGAGTGGGAGGTGAAAGGAAGGGGTGGTATGTTAGTGTTGTGGACGTTGTGGCAAACAACTGGTGGCGCCGGCTTATTCATAAGTGATCATGTTGTCACAGCGTGTCACAGTCCGAGTCACGATTTTTATTCTGATTCAAATTGCTACGGAGCATAGGTACACGTGTGTCTTGGTTGAGTCACTCGTTGGGCCAGACTCGTCTATTAGTAGTAAGTTGTCGGAAATTTCCAAAGGTGCTTTGCAAGGGACCCCGCTTGACTCGCAACACAGCCGATATCCTAACAAAAGCGTCTTAGGAGCGCCCTTGGGCTCCACTGAACGGTTCCAGGCGAGGAGGAGATGTTATGCGGTTAGCGTTGAGGAGTGTTGGAGCCGATACCAACGCCAACCGCTGAGATCGGATGTTGGAATGCCAACATGTACTATATATTAAGGACTCGTTTAGCTACACCCTTTTCCCTCAGTCACTCATCCTGGACTGAGGGTATGTCGTCCGTCGTCCTCCCGCCCGCCTATGTACTAACACGTACTTTAGTCTGACTGTATCGTCTAGGTCTTAAACATACTTTACCAGCGAGACGTGGAAAGTGGTCCAATGAGTTCGAACTTTTTGTAACGTTACGCGGTCATCAGTAAATAGTGCTATGATCATGGCAATAGGATTGCAAAGTTATTTCTATCACCTTGCCTACAGACAGTCTTCCTACGATATTCGTGGAGAGTCTTATGGTCGCCCTCACTTTTCCTGTACAACCAATACGCCATTTTCCCGCCTTTCTTCCACTTTCGCTGGACCTCAGTAAATCCGAGGACATCCATGAGGGATTGAAGCTTATCGAAAGTCAAATATCGCGAGTTCTCCACGCACGGAAGCGGAAGCTAGTAAGAAGACCAGGTTATTAGCCCCTCATTTATGGATGCGCTAGAGACTTGTGTGCCAAGTCAGTTGCTTACCGCAAGAAAGAGTAGGCCGTCTGGGGTTAATATAGAGTGTGCAAGGCATAACATTCGCCCTGAAAGAGGTGGTGTTAGATTGCGGGTAGCACGAACATTACACATGTGTACCTCGATCTCTCGGGTCCGGAACAAAGTTCACGACCAAGCTCAGGCTGATGATATCCCACTTCCCTCGATTCTCATCCTCGTCCATTAACAGAAAATCCTGCTCTACAATAGAGGGATGGCGGCTGCGAAGGTCCATGGGTGTGGTATCTATCCATGACATGCATGTTCGATAGTTGTCAGGCTTTAAAGCGCCAACTTCCAGAAGCCTGTTTGTCGTAGATAGGTTAGAGCCAGTTCAATTGCTTTTATTGAATAGGTGACTCTTAAGTACCTCAGCTTCCCTTCAGCTTCCCTCTTCCGAAGTTCCATCTGAATCAGCCACTGTATGAGCACTTTCTCACTTCCGCCGCCGCGGTCATTCCCCTGCCCAATACTTGACATACGCTGATAGGCCGCTAATCCCCCCAGCTCATCGATCTCATGTTCTATTTCCCCGAGTACTTCAGCATTTGCAGAAGAGGCATTTTTCAGCTGTCTCTGTTTTTTCAGTAGGACATGAAACCGTCGGATGACAGTGCGACTTGAGGTGGGAGTGCTCGACGAGCTCGCTTTGTCAGTGTTCGTTATAGGAATCTTCTTTTTGCGAGTCCTGGGCATGGGTGACGTTAACAAGTTGTGTGCGGTTCTGAGAGCATGACTAGTATAGTATGTTAGTATGTGGTGGTGCTTGATTAGCAAACACTGAGAGTGAAACTACTTACGTATGAGCAACCCGTTCACGATCACACGGATAAATTTTGTTTCCAAAGTTCGAAACATCGAATGCCCAATCACTATCGATAGTTACTACAACAATTGGTCCACTGAGTACAAACAAAAGGCTCAAGGGGATGTCCACATCCAAGACATAAACAAGGACTGTTCTTCCTTCTTTAGGTAGGTCTGGCTTGTATCCAAGACCAGCGAAATAAACCGACATGAAACCAATGGAACAATGTCCTCGAATTAAAAAGACAAGTATTGGTTTAAAAACCATCCGCAGTCACGGACTACGGTAACCTTAGTTGCGTGAACGAATAGAGCAATCCAGATTAATCGATAACAGTTGAAGAGCGGTAGCAACACGCTTTAAAAAAAACTGTGCATCCCACGTTTCGAGTCGATCTTTTCAAAGCGCTCGAACTCCTGCCTCTGGTTGAGAGGGAAACAGATCAACAGTGCGGCCAGTTGCTAAGACAAAATGATGCCTCACCTTCTTGATAACGCACATATTTGCCAGGAAAAGACCAATCACGATTGCCATGAAACCATCGACAGTGCTACAGAGGGTATGAGAGTTCTGTTTGTGAGGAAATAACAAGGGAAAGGTACCTGAAGATGTTGTTGAGTGTCAGATCTGTAAACTTGGTGATGGGCGTGACACAGAAATTGTTCAAAGCAGTTGCAGCAGCCTGATTGGGGCATGTAGTGCCTCCAAACGCAACCTCATCGGTAGCGTCGAAGTAACCACAGCACTTGAGCTATAGAAAAAGAAGGAAATCAACATAACCACGAGTTGCAGTCCGAGTGGGACGCACCATATCCTGGATCAAAATCTTGGTCTCGTTACTCTGTTGCCCAAATACAGTATGATAGTTATTCCGCTCGTGCAGCGTGAAGATCCAAATATATGTGCCGATGAGTAGAATGATGACGCTGTTTACAAGAAGTATCCAGTTGAGAATTTTCAAGCCCAGGGTGCCGCGTTGTGTAATAACAAGCAGAGACAGAACAAATGTGGCAAGGAGAGTTATACCAAGCACGCTGCCAGCTTCAGATGTCGTTTTCAGGGGGATGCTATACACAGGTACATGAAGCACTTACCAGTCAAGTTCACACCGCTAAACGTCAAGTTCAGCATAAGGTTGGGTCGACGCCATACGATGGACAAGGTCAGTGAGAGGATACCAGCGGCCATGAGACATATAACAAAGAATGCCCATGCTCCAATCAATTTCTTCGACAACATGATTGTTTTTGCCTGGATGATGGAACTAAATGGAGTGTTGTGTAGAAGAGCGTCGGAGGATCAAGAAAACAGACGTCCTAACGAATGGGTTGGCTGGTGAGCTGAATTGGATTGATGGAGATGGCACTCTTCCGGAGAGTAGAGGAACGATAGCACCTGGCTAGAGCTCGGTATCAAAAACCAGTCAAACGACGATCAACGTCGAGCGTCTGCGCAGCAGAAAAAGAACGAAAGAAAGGAGTGAGCACTCTGTGAACCAGAGATTGGAGATCACAGGATTTCACTTACTATATGTATGTGTAGTATACAGATGGCGGTGCTGCTGAAATGATTAAAGCTATACAGGAATTCAGGGCAGTTGAAGACGCGGGGAAAAAAGCCGACAGTAGTGTCAAGGAATACTCATGGAAGGCTATGGAGGGCGGTGGGAGGCGGTGGTATGGTAGTATGGTCCTGACAATATTAAATTTCAGTCTCCATGACAAACACAACACCATTAGAACAAACTTTGTACACCGTGACCAGTTTGGCTGCAGCTGCATAATTCACTTCAACCGCATCAACCGCATCAGCTCTCACGAGCTCTCAGTAATTCACCCCAGTCTCTCCGTAAGCTCTTTTCCGTATAACTGACCGGCTCCTTATCGCCATCATATTTTACGCGGCAGGTCCATCAATCATTTTTTACTGATTTGGGGTTCTGTCATGTCTCACTTGGGTGGTGGTTCTCTGTTGCTGGCCTGGCAACTGAAAGGAAAACATGTGCTTATCGTTGGCGGTGGTGATGTTGCTTCTGGGCGTATTGAATCTGTGCTAGCTGCCGATGCTCGCGTGACGCTTATCAGTCCAAGTAACGGACTGCACACTCTTACCAAGTCTTTCCTCGATGGACCCCATAATATCACATACCATGACCGCCTGTTCGGAGGCGTGGAAGACTTGGCCGATGTTGATCTTGTATTAACGGCAATCGATGATGTGGCGCAGTCTCGTGTCATTTGTTGCCTATGCAGGGAGCTCAAGATTCCCGTTAACGTGGCTGATATCCCGGAGTCATGCGACTTTTATTTTGGCTCTCAAATCCGTGACGGCCCTCTTCAAATTATGATCTCGACAAACGGGAATAGCCCTAAACTGGCTAATATCATACGGAAGAAGGTCGAGCAAAGCCTTCCAGAGCATGCCGGAGATGCAATTACCAGGGTGGGTGAGCTGAGAGTGAAGTTGAAGGAGAGAGCTCCTGGAGTGGGCGGTGCAATTGGGAAGAGACGGATGCGGTGGATGATTGATGTCTGCACTTCTTGGGAAATGGAGGAGCTTGCTCTATTGGACGATCAGATGATAAAGAGGCTTCTTGACGATGGCTGGGAGAAGAACGTAGTCCCATCTCCTGGTGAGCTGGGAGCCAGGTCATCCCGGCAGGTGTATGAAGCCAAACTGAACCTCACGACCCCTGGCGTTTTGGTTACCACGTTGAGCTTTGTTGCAGGCGCTGCTTGCGCAGGTCTTTTATTGCTCGTCCGACGGCGGTGATCCTCGCGTATGCCGCCCCGCCCCGCTTCAATACATACCTGATCTTTTGTCCTGAATTGTTTGGTTTATTCCTGTTGGTGTACAACGACGACAATCACTGTGATGAAGCACGCTATTCCTGGGTCAGATCTATTCACGATTGCCTCTCCATTATCCTTGCCGACAGTAGACAATAGCCCCGTAAGTTGCTGGTCGTTCCACGGACCGTTTGTGTCACTGCTGTGTCAGCCTGATGCGCTTGACCGGCTGCTGTGTCTTCCCATCACGCACGTTTCGTGGTTCAGGTTGTCAACCTGACATGCAGTGTAATGGTGGTCGGTCACCCGTCAAATTTGAAAAAGTACTCAGGCATTGTTCTCTTCAAATGCTTAGCTAGGCTACTCAGTGGCTGGCTCGTTGGTTGACCGGGGAGGATCAGCTGTGTCCAAAGAAATCATCACTTTCATGGCATAAGCTGATATCTACTAGTAGGACCTGCGTTTCTGTTTGAATGATTCGCCCGAAGGCACGGTATTCAACAACTCTACATCGACACTACATAATCGTTCAGGCTAGCACTGTAGTAACCATTTTCGTGTGAGAAGAGAACAGCCATAAATACCAAGTCGCGCTCAAGTGGCAACGGGCAATTATAGGCAATTATTGGAGGGCCAAAGCAAGCACGCCCCGAGGTGCACCACCTTGACAGCACTAATCTGCAAGCGGGTCCATGAATAGTGGGTGCACGAGAGGAGTAAGGCTGAGTACTGAGTACTGATTATTGAGGCAATGTCGATACTGGTGATCATCCTGTAATTAGAAGATGAAACAACTGCATGTATCAGCCAACTACAGTATGATCATTGGTAAAGGGCCGGGTCTGCTAGAAAATGGGTAATGTGCAATTGCGTGTTTTGGAATCTCAAGGACTGTACTAGATTTTATCACTGGCGGGCGTTTCTGGCTGCCTGTTAGACCAGACCGTCGATTGCCCGATGGAAGGGCTGATGTTTTATGATGACGTAGCGGGAATATCGGGTATTTGTGTATCTGGTGTTATATCCCCTGTTACTGTTCGTCCATAATGTGTTAGGAGCCCAATAGCAGAACCGATCCCAGCGCCACCAATCACCACTGTTGAAGATGATAGGCGGCATGCACTAGTATATCATCAAATATTTCGCTCACAGTTCACTGTGCTCGCTCTCTTCCAGAAGATTGCAGGCGTTAGCACCGCAAACAATATCGCGCCAATAGTAGAGTGGTCGTCGGCACGTAATGAAGCAGTCTGAAAAACAACCTGAACTTTAAGTAGCATTCAGGATTAATTGGACATACGTCGTAGGCGTGTTGCAGGCGCCGGTTCCTCACAGTGGCTTCACTGGCCCTGGATGAGCGAATATACTCGAGTGCGCCTCCTCCTGCGCATCCTAGGGAGTGAGATTTTCAGGATTAACAGGAAGTAAAGATGTCAGCATTGTGCTTGCATACCTACTGCACCACCTACCCACGTCGCGCGAAGGAATCGATTGACAGTGAAGTGGCCTTTACCTTTCCGCATGAGCACAAAAGCAGCGTATGCCGGTGGGGTGAGTAAAGAAAATACTTCATATCCTTTGGTCATTCCTCGTCTCACGAGGACCTCCATGTCAGCGTGAGTCTCTGACAGTCTTTCTGAACCCATTCCTGTAGTGACCCGGATTCAGGAGATGTGGCTCGTCGCGGTAGACGATGAACAGGGTAGGATGTGTGACATGTCACGTGCTATGCACGGACCACTGTGTGTGGATGAATCAGCTTTGTCTGCATTGCACCTTGTGCTTGACCTTGACCCTTATTTGACTGCTATTGCCTTTGCAATGTCAGTTTCACCATTTCCTGAGCCTTTGGATGCACCAATGCACGACTTCGCTACCGAAATTGATGTTCCAATGAACCCAGCAGCTGCGCAAGAATTTTTTGTGGAGTTATCCATGGACCACGATGGTCATCACACGACTTATAACCAGGAGGATGTCGAGGTCGACATGGAGACTTACTATGATGGCAATGCAGAGTATGAGATGGCTGATGAGACGGAGGAATTCAACGAAAGCCATTATCACCATGAGCTGCTCGACGTGGAAGTCTACGACGCTTCCGACGCTCGCTCTCCTCGGCCCATACCTGATTCACACTCATTATCATCTCTGATAATCAATCCGGAGATATCATTACTTCCCTCCCCTGCCCCTTTCTCGGATCCGTTCACCCCCCAGCTAGTCACCATTCCTGTTGAACACGACGCACCTATCACAGATCGCCTGGTGGAAAACGATCATCCTGTAGCTGAGGAAGCAGAATTTAATGCTCTGCGAGAGGAGGAATCTCTCGCTTTAACGTTAGAGCAACTATCGGAGTTGGATCCCCCTCATCTTACCACCACTGCTGATCAAACGGCCGTAGAGTTGAACGTACCTTCTGTGGCTTCGACGGATCCATATGCCGTAGAAAAACACGCGGATGCTCCGGTTTCTGAAACCACCAGTAGAGTTGGATCAACTGTTCTACCTACAGAGGCAGAACTCGCGCTTCAAGCACAAGTTGAGGAGCAGTCTGAGACATTCCACCCGTCAGACATCCCATCTGATAATATCGCGCAGCCTCAGGGTGAAACCCATCCGGAGAGCCTCCGCGATGAGGCAGACGATGCGAATGATCCACACGAAATATCTGATGGCGTCTACATTGACCCGCCACCCGCTGTTTTCCTGTCTATCGGCTCCTCTGAAGTACCTGAATACTGTTTATTCAACCAGCCTCCAGTGGAACGTGGATCCCGTAGCCCGTCTGCAGGAGCTAGCAACCAACAGGCGTATGCGTTGCTCCTGGAGAATCGGCCAACGTTGTACTATGAGCCCCTTAGTTGTGTATTTGAAGCACTTCGGCAGGATGAAGTCATTTCCAGGATTCCTGACTCTCTCGAGGGAGAGTTGGTGATGGATGCGTACGATCTTCAGCTCGCTGTGTTGGAGGTGGATGTCATTTATCCTTCTGCGTAGGATAAGCGCTGATTTCCATGTAGGACAATGTTTATGCGCAGGAAATCAGTTTGCATGACCTGAACGTACTGCACGATGGTTCTGATTTTACGGGCCCTCTCCGCATCCATCTGCGTTCGGCCATACCTAGGTTTATTTTGCGTTACCGTTTACTTCAAGAACAGATTTCTCGACTTGATCTGGCTGCAGGCGTCGATGAAAATGTTGCAGCAGAAGGTTTGTATTCCTCTTCAACAATATCGAAATTATCTCTGAACGTTGTTGCAGGATACGCCCCTGCAGTTCAGCATGATGCCGCGCCAGAAGCAGATCAGCACGAGGAAGAAGCTCAGCTTGAAGCAGAGCACCGTGAAGAAGAGGATGCAGATCATCACGATGAAGAAGGTGTAGATCACCACGAAGAAGAAGCCCAACCCAAAGCACTTCTTCTTGGTGACCAGAACGATCTCGATGGAACAGAAGGCGTTCATGAGGCGAAAGTTTCTCTAGACCTACTCCAGGGTGATGACACTCTTGCTAAGGACATGGCTTTTATCCCACAGGCTGTGGCAGATGTTGCCTATCACAGTGTTAGTGGCGACGTAGCACAGGCCCTTGAAGGAGAGGATGATTATGAAGGCACAAACGTCGGCACAGAGTATCAAGAAGATGGCGAGGGCGATCATGACACCGCTGCCGTGCATCAGACAGCGGATACGGACGCTACTGCAACCGTTTCCGGCGTCAATGTGCAGTTCGAAGGGGAGGAGGCCGAGTACCAGGATTACATACAACCAGAAGAATATGGCGAAATCTATGAAGACTTCCCCGAAGAGGACGGCACACACACAGAATTCGGATACGATCAAACGGTGGGTTATGAAGACAGCGGCACAGCGGCTGTACCCACAATAGTAGAGGAGCTACAGACAGATTTGCCTGTATCTGACCTCCAAGAAGAAGAGACTACGCTAGTACTACCAGCACAACACGTCGACTCTGAGCCCGCTCAGATATCAGAAATAGGAGACCGAGGCAACGACGAAGACTTGGATCAGCACAGCGTTTTGGATGGTGAGCAATGTTGTTCTATTGAATATGCTCGTATCCTCACTTTGCGCTAGAACGAGGAGATCGTTTACCATCATACGAAGAGCAGAGCAGCCATGGCACTGACAAAGGTATGTCCGAGTATTTTTGTCACTTGATATTGTTTACTAATACCGATGCCGATTAGATCTTATTGTAGATCAGAATACAGACCAGCCCGAATCGTCAGCGCAATTCCCAACAGATGAGTCGGATTCTAATTTAATTGCAATGCTTGAACGCGAAGCTGGTAAGGTGGCTGGTTTTTGGTGAGAGACTGCGCTGACCCATAATCCAGATTCTGAGCTAGATCATTCTTCCTCTCACACCAATGCTAACCCCACAGAAGAGGGTGGCGGACACACTTTTCCAGTTTTGGAAGAGGAATGGGATGAAGTATGGGATGATGAATTAGATGGTGATGGCGAAATCGATGACGAATGGCAGGACCCTGGCGATGCTGTGTCCAATGAAAGCTCTGTGACCCTGTCCAGTATTTCATCTGCAAAACGTCATCACGATGAGGTCGACCCCGAAGAAGGTGAACTGGAAGCAGGCACACCTCATAGTTCACCGGGTATGTCTCAGTTTTGTATTTTACACTTACTTTGCTGACCACAGCGTATTGAAGAAAAACGACCTCGCATGTATTGAGACAGCATCGGCATCTCACATCCTCTCTGGCGCCATTCTTTTCCTGCGCCCCTACACTGCTGCTACCGCTCAGCCTCATTGCCTGCCCGTAGCAGGTCTAACTTATCAGACTTTGTTCATTATCATGGCCCTGGATCGAATGGCACGCACGCAACCCGAACATCAAAATTACGACCGTAGGCTAAGTACCGTTTTTCAAGTTTCTATCGTGTCCCCTATTCTTTCAGTTCATCACCGCTTTTTTTCGTGGCTCACCTTCACAGCATATTCGGGCGTGTTACCGGCTTAGAACGAGGTGGGGGCTGGTGTTGAAGGATAGCATCATTTGGTGGGAATTGGGAACGGGCATGTGTGGTCATGTTCTTGGTCTGTTTGACCGTCACTGGGCCCTAATGACTGCATTTGATGTTCGCTCCAAGCTTTCTTACGAGCAACCACCTGATCCCATGACATGATGATGGTGTTGATAGCACGCCAGTATAATCTTGTATAATTTTCGTCGAAAGCACCTCATATGTACAATAACAACGCTTCGCAACAACTTCTGCTCGGAGACTCCCGGAGGCGCACTAGAGAAAGAGATTACCGACATGGGGTCTCACTTTACTTGTAAATTTTTAACCAGAGCAAGATTCTGCGAATTGAGAGTATGCACAATAGTAGATCTGTTCGGGATTGGTCTAACGCACACCTCTGGCAGGATAAATCTAGTTGTCATGCATTCCTAGACTGACAGTTATCGAGCTATCCTTGACTCAATGATGAACTTCTGCCTGCTTCACGTCTGCCTCCAAAAATCCAAGGAATGCATCCGCACCCTTACCCACATCCTCTCCTGCATGCACAGTCGAACTCGTGACCTCTGCCTCAGCTTTTGTGGGCTCAGTCGCGTCATATGCGGTGAGTTCGGCAGCGAGGTCGACGGGAAGAGTGGGGGGTTTTGGAACGGCGGGTAGTGAGAAATTCTTGACAACACCAACGTGTGCGTCTTTTGCCTAGAGAATATATGGGTGAGTTGCTGGAATGAGCTAAATCAGACGTCGCTAAAAACGAACTGCAACAGGGGGCTTGTAAGCTTTTAGCTCCTTGACATAGAGGTCCTGGACAAGGTCTGCCGAAAGACTTCGTCAATCCATTGACTCATGTGCCGGTCGGCGAAATGCGGAACAAACCTTTACGAGCAATAGACGTCGTAGAGAAGGTCCGTGCAGAGCGGGCCTGTCGCATGAATGAGCTCAATGACATGAAAATATGATGATCTAGAAGCTCACCGCTTGCCTAAGGAAATTCATGGACAACATGGCTAGAAAAGAGAATGGAGCGTGACGTTACGCGGTGTTGCTCCGTGTTGTTTGAGAGTCACGTGTTGAGTCATGGCATATATATTGTCAGCTGTTGAGTACGTTCAATGTAGGCTCCATCTTGGATATTCCAGCGCAAACGATTCATATATCATGACGTTCACTGTTATTGCCCGCCGTGTCCCACTTACCCGGCTCGTCCTCTCAAGGGGTTACACCTCAAGTGTCAGAGAAGGCAGTGTTGCTCAGAGCAAGGGGTTCTCGTATGTGTAGATTCTTGCAGCGCAGTGGACGTCTATCTAACAGTATTAACTGCAGCAAAAAGGAGAAAGCTCATGAAGGTACATTTACCTGTGGCAAATCCAGTATCATTGTCACACTCATTAATTGCTATTCACAGACGAGTACGCTCGTAGGCACGAGGCGGAGCTGCTGCGTAAGCTGAAAGCTGAGGTGTGCACCACAAGAATTTCAATTGTTTCATTGTCCTGATCAGTTCTGTAGATTGAGGCGAAGAAGGAGGAACTTGTAAGTTACCAGTATTTCTGTCGCTTAATGACATCCTGACTTTGAACATCAGGCCAGGCTGCAGGAGAAGCATGACGAAGTCAACTCAAAGCAGTAAACTGTAGTGCAATGATGCCAATCATTTAATGGATTGCAAAGGTTCAACGTTCAACGTTGAACGTTCAGTGCAACGCTGATCATGTCTGAGTTTTCGCTGAACACGCAATGTTGTTTCCTTTGCTCTTGTAACTACACTAGTTTTTTTTGCTGCTAGTGGCGTTCTTGATGCACAAATATACAAATGTTGCGAAAAGTAATTGTGATATGTCCGAGTTCAGAATTCCGCCGGGGGTATGATGATATGTGATTACGTCATCATTTTTCTATCATTGCGGCTCTGATGAGTATGTACTATGACTTCCAAATCGTCTCCTCGTTCTTAACCATTAGTACAATTACAGTACTCAGTAATGGCGGATGCAGAGACTTCCCGCCTATGTGTTCAGATTGTCTGGTCACACTTTGGTCCGTTATCGGCGGTGAGTTTTCGTGTGGTTTTTACCAGCACTGGCAGAAGTTTATTCATACCTGAATGGTTTATCAGAAGGTTGCATTTGCACTACTCACGCGGGGAAGACTTTCCCTTTCCCAGCTCATTCGTTACACGAAGATGAAACCGCGCACAGCACGCGTAGCAACCTTGGTTCTGGTGCAACAAAATATTTTATGGCATTCTAACACCGAGGAGGAGGGCGAGATGCTGGAGTTCAATACGCTAGAGTGTCTTATGCGTCTTAGATTTGGTCGCTTCGTGTGGCAAGCGGAGCAATTGTTTGGATCTTCTGTATGTACCCTCCTCTTTTTCTTCCTCTTTTATTAAGCTCAATTCACGCCCGTGTATCAGGGTGCAGAAATTGTGCAGCTAATACTAGACCACGGAAAACTTCAGCAGCCAGACGTCATTTCACGATTGTCACTCAACAACCCAAAAAGTCGGGAAATTTCTTCTGATTTGTGACCGTTGCTAATGGCACACCCAGGTTCAAGCCTATACTCGCAGACATTACAGAAGCTCATATCCGGCGCATATCTTAAGCCATCCACATTACTCTCACATCACTCACCTAGGGACAAACGTATCAAATACGAAGCAGAAGAGAAAGCTAAAATAACGGGTTTCCCGACAGCGAAGGAGTTGCGGGAGGCTCAAGAGACCGCGGAAGCACGGCTGAAACGGGAGGAGAAGGAAGCAGAGAGTGTGGGCTTAGTGAGTTGAATGCAACGATCAGCGTACTAGTCAGCTGCTTCAATTTAATATCTAGGATGGTGTCTACTTTCGGGTGAATTTTGACAAATTCAATACCCATATCCGTAACAAGGTTAGTCCCATGAATACCTGTTTCACGTTCTTGGCTACTGATGTTATTTGCCAGCTCATCGAGATGGCTGCAGCAGAGCGTTTTAATCGAAGTGCTGCTCTTGTCATGCAGGCCACACTAAAAGCGACTGAAGCCAGACAAAAGAGTGTATCCGATGCAAGATCAGGTAAGATACACTGTAACACGCGTTCTTCATGCAACTGCTTAAAGCGAAATAGATCCTACATTGACTGCTGCGATTGCCATGCTCATTTCTGATGACGAAGGCCTTTCGGCGGGTATCGTCACGTCAATCAAGAAAGCGTCTAGTGCTTCACTAGTCAAGGATTATCTCGGTCTAATGTCTGCCATAGACAATCCAACGCCAGCTGGTAAAGCGGCGTCATTTATAAGTCTAACTGAAAACAAAGTATATGTCGAGTTTGAAATAATTAGCAAACGCCTACGAAGGCGCGTGCTGGAGGCAGTAGCTCGGGAACGACACGGGGACGACGGCGTGAGGATAGTGCGTCTACTCCTCGATATTGGAAAGATGGACGAGAAGCAGGTGCCTTCCTTGTCGGCCTCGTAGTGACATGTCTCTGACCCCAAACAGATTGCGAAGGTGGCTATGATGCCAAACAACGTCGTTCGGCCACTTCTTGCGGCACTGTCCTCCGACTTTTTGATCTCAACTCAAGAGGTACCCAGAAGTGCTGATCGTAACCCCACACGGACATTTTATCTATGGTACAAGGTGTTTCTAATTTGTCATGATCGTTGACTTATCCCGATACCCAGGCACGTTGATCTACACAAGGCATATTCTGCGCTGTTGGGACACCTGTACAAGACGCTGTATAACATAGGGATGCGGCGACAAGCAGAACAAGAGGAGCCGACTGTGAAAGCGGTACTAGCAAAGCGAGCGCGGACGGATGTGGCTCAGGATGAAAATTTATTGTCGCGGATGGAGAGAGACGTGCTTAAGGAATGGGAGACGAAACGGGAGAAGCTCACTGTACTGGAGATGAGGGTAGAAGAAGCCGTATTTATTCTTAGGGATCTTGACAAGGTTGGAAGTTATGAGGACATTTGAATATAAAGTTGCTCACATACAGACACGGGAGTCGTCAGTCATTTTTTAATCTTGATACCTAATTTATTTTTTAAATTTGATTTCGGCTTCTTCGCTGGCGGTGGACCAAGAGATTTGGCATCTCGCACTACTCGCGTCGATTCTGGAAGGAGACTGCGTAAATCGGGCTCGACATCATCGGCCTTTCGCTTGATAGTGACCAGTTGTGGCGGGATAGCTTCCGTAGGTGAATCTCCAGAACTGTCCGCCGCCGCCGCCGAAGAGTCGCCCGGAAGTGCGGGCATCGACACCTTCGAAAACACTTCCCTCACCTGCCTCTCATCCTCTTCTTCTGCTAATCTTCTCTCCCTTTCTTCTTCCGTTTCTTCTTCCGCAGTAATCCGAGAAACCAGATCCGACGCTTGCCCCACACGCTCATTCCGAGCGTTTCGTGCCCGAATGTCCTGGAGGGCGTCTAGGATATCCATTTCCCGTTTGGCGTCGACGGTGCGGTTCTCTAGCGCTTTCATAGGATTGTTCTCCTCTTCCTCCAGCCGAGCAAGACGGTCCTCCTCTTCGACAACTTTCTCTTCTCGCCATGGTTCAAAGTTTCTCGATGCGCCATGCTCTGCGGAATAATCGGTATTCTTGGGATCAGTCTTGAAGGTAATCTCGGCGGAACATAGTGTACTAGGGTGCCTCTCAGTAAACGCTAAATAGTCAACGACGCAATGACGCACCACTTGATGTAAAACCGAAATATCTTAATTCCATAATAATCCTCCCCATCCACTGTTTCCTTGCGAGCGTTGAACTTCTTGCCCTTGTAAATGTATTCTCCGCATGTATTACATCGCCTGTGTCCATAGTAAGACATATATCATGGTACAGAAAATTTAATGCTTACATGGAGAATGGAGCCATAAGACGAACAACCTGCTGTGAGTTCTTTGGACCCCTCCTTCGAGGGATCAAGGACGGGTCAAAGTCCGGGGGGAAGTACTTGTTCAACACTAACACAAAAATCAGTTCATGATTTGACTTGAGGCTGAGTTCTTACCTTTACGTTCAGACATAGTGGCCGATCAAAAGAGTGCTAGGATTGTTGAGTTGAGCTTGCGTTGCGAACTTGAATGACTAGACCGCTTGATTACCTAACAAGAAATTTCTTTAGCGCGCGCTCTCCTGCTTGCTCACCTGCAGCGTCGTCCGCCAGTTCATTCTGTCAATCGCCGCTCACGACCACCATGCAGGTCCAATTAAATAAACAGCTAATCAGTTCTCGTCTAAAAAATGTCTATGATGGTTGGAGGGTATGCTTTCAGTTTTTGGTGCAGGTTGGGTTGCTAATGAGCGTTGTGTCATTTTTAGAATGCGAGTCAAAATGACGAGTACGGCTCCATAGCAGATGCGGAAGCCCTCTTGTTGCTGTCAGGAGACCCCGCCGGAGAGGATGAACCCGTGAGGAAAGGGACTGCCTTTCAGGTGAGCTTCATTGGAACTTAATGAATCACGTCTCTGCTGTGTGGCTTACGCGCCAATTCGTGTAGACTTGGCTGCTTGGTTATGAGTTTCCCTCCACCTTACTCCTCTTCCAGAAGGACAAGCTCCTGATATTATGCTCGGCTAGCAAAGGTATGTATTATATCGTCCGATGCGCGACGATCTGACATTTTCAACACGACACGTGGGTTTGCAGCCAAGTTCTTGCACCAAATAAAGAAGGGAATCCTCCTGTTCCAGTCGAGATACTTGTGCAAGCAAAGGCGAAGGAACCACCCAGCGGTGCACTACCAAAATTCGTGGAGGCTTTCACATCTTTCAAACGCGTCGGGAGCTTGGTGAAGGAAATGTGCACGGGGAAGTTGATGACGGAGTGGGAGCAGGGCGTCTCAAAAGCTGACAACAAACCCGAATTGGTCGATATGGCCCCTGCGTTGTCTGCATTCATGGCCGTTAAGGACGAAGAAGAAATGGTGTGTTCACGCGTTATATCTTGGGGCCAACAGTCTTCTAATGCACAGTGCAGAAATGCATCCGTACGGCGGCTAATCTCACTTCTACCTTGCTCGTTCACCACATCGTGTTAAAACTGGAGATGATATTGGACAAGGAAGCCAAGATAACTCATGAACAATTTGCTACTCAGATAGAGGCGCGACTTGGGTCGGGTGAAGGTGAAGTTGCCAAAGGACCTGATATGAAGGTGTGGAGTAAAGGGCGGGGCCTCAATGATGTGCGTCAACTACTCTTCCAGACTCGCTCATACATCTCATGGGTCATTCCAGGTTGACTGGGCATCGACGGAGTTCTGCTACTCTCCCATCATTCAGTCGCGGTCAACAACCACTGGTTATGATTTGCGGTCGACTGCGGAATCATCTTCGGACACTATCGCACACAAAGGCGTCTTCCTAATTGCCGTTGGTATGCGATACAAGGGTTACTGTGCCAATCTTGGGCGCAGTATTATTGTTGACCCCTCGAAGGTCAGTGTTAGCGACATCCTTTTCTCACTGGTCTCATTCAGCCTCGCAGGAACAAGAAGCCATCTACAACTTACTGTTGTCGATGCAGAGCGAGATGCTGAAGGAGATCAAGGATGGCGTCAGCGCACGTGAAGTGTATCAACGGGCATTGGATATCGTGAAAAAGGAAAAGCCAGAGCTTGAGAAGAACTTTGTCAAGAATGCTGGGTTTGGAGTGCGTAATCCTCTATTAAAAAGTGCCCATAAGTCTCAAACTCGTTCAGACCGGCGTTGAGTTCCGTGATTCCGCGTATTTGCTTTCTTCTAAAAACTCCAAGCGCCTGAAGACGGATATGGTTTTAAACCTGTCTCTTGGCTTCTCCGACTTGCTTGATGACAACGGCAAGAAGTATATGACATTCCTTTGGTCCACAGCAGTCTCGTTCATACTTTCATTTCAGATACGCCCTCCATATAGTTGACACTATTCGCGTTGGCGCTGACAGATCAACTCTTTTGACTGAAGGCGCCAAATCCACCAAAGACACGCTCTTCTTCCTGAATCCTGAAAATGAAATTGAGGTGGAAGAAGATAAGCCGTCCAAACCCAGTAAGAAGGCTCCTGTGAAACCTCTGGTAAACGGTTCCCCCGTCAAGAACAAGACAGTTGGTGGGAAGGTGTTGCGAAACAAGACGCGTAGCGCTGCCCAGGAGGAAGTTTTAATGACTGCAGCGGCTAAGATCAAGGAACATCAGCAACAGCTGCATGAAGGTCTCCAGTCTGCTGGATTGGCGAAGTACTCTGAAGGTGCTAGCGGTGGCGGTGAAAAGGAGGGTAAAACCTGGAAGCGTTTCCAAAGTTATAAGGGTGAAAGCGCACTGCCACGAGAAGTTGAAAGTCTTCGAGTAAGTGCATCAACTTCTATATGGAACTTATACTAAAACAACACCACTCAGATCTGCGTAGACCGCAAAGCTCAAACAATCGTGTTGCCCGTGCATGGATTCGCTGTACCTTTCCACATCAACACTATCAAGAATGTGAGCAAAAATGATGAAGGGGATTACACGTACCTCCGCATCAACTTCCAGACTCCTGGTCAGCTCGCCGGGAAGAAAGATGACACGGTAAGTATGGCTTCAGAGTTACGAGTGTTCTCGAGTTTTTGAAGGTATTGCCAAATAGCCTTTTGAAGACCCTGACTCTACTTTCATTCGTTCGGTCACCTATCGGTCAAGTGATGGCCATCGTTTCGATACTATTTCCAAACAAATCACAGACCTAAAGAAGGAGGTCAACAAGCGCGAGCAGCAGAAGAAGGAAATGGCTGACGTTATCGAGCAAGATGTCCTGCTCGAAATCAAAGGTAGACGTGCGCACAAGCTTCCTGAAGTGTTCGTCCGCCCCGCCCTTGATGGTAAACGGTTACCCGGTGAGGTTGAGATCCACCAGAACGGTCTGCGCTACCAGTCTCCGATGGGCTCTCAGAAAATTGGTATGATGTCCCGTTTCTTGTTGTTGGTTATTGTTAACTCGTGTACTTTTAGATGTTTTGTTCACTAACATCAAGCACCTCTTCTTCCAGCCTTGTGACAAGGAACTTATGGTTATTGTTCACATTCATCTGAGAGCACCTATCATGATTGGGAAAAAGAAAGCACATGTATGTTGTTCCGTTCGTAGAACAATTACATTCTCTAACGTATTTTTTCTACAGGATATCCAGTTCTTCCGTGAGGCTTCTGACGTTCAGTTCGATGAGACTGGCAACCGGAAGAGAAAACACAGATACGGCGATGAGGATGAAATCGAGATGGAACAGCAAGAACGAAAGCGAAGACAAATGCTCAACAAAGAGTTTAAACTCTTTGCCGAGCGAGTAGCCGAGGCAGCATCGACGTCCATGGGTGAAACACTCGAAGTTGACATCCCCTTCCGTGAATTGTCGTTCGAGGGAGTGCCATTCCGCACCAACGTCCGATTGCAGCCCACAACAGAATGTCTCGTGCATCTCATCGACCCTCCATTCCTTGTTGTCACCCTCAACGAGATCGAGATTGCTTCGCTGGAACGTGTTCAATTCTCGCTTAAACAGTTCGATCTCGTACTCATCTTCAAAGATTTCACCAAAGCGCCGTTACACATCAACTCAATACCGAGTGGTCAACTTGATGATGTGAAGAATTGGCTAGAGTATGCACGTCTGTTGTGATCGGTAGGACATCGATACTGATGAAACGCGTTCGCAGCTCAGTCGACATTCCTCTCGGTGAAGGCCCGGTCAACTTGAACTGGGGCCCTATCATGAAGACTATCAATGAGAGCCCGTATGATTTCTTCCAGCAAGGCGGTTGGCGAAGTTTCCTCGGTGGGGGTGATGCCGATGTAAGTACTTAGATGTGATCATCCGTCATGGGGGCTGAAGCATTGTTCGCAGAGCGATGCAGACGTGGGTTCGGACAGCGAATCTGAGTTTGAGGCAGATCCTGAGGAACTGCAGTCTGAGGAGAGCAGCGCTGATGCTAGCGAGTATGATGGCTCAGATGCGAGCGACGACTCAGGAAGTGGTTCGGGTTATGACGATGATAGCGATGACGGTGATGACTGGGAAGAGCTAGAAAGGAAAGCTGCTAAATGTACGTATATTGACCATCGCCCTTCTTTTTTAATACTTATTTGCAAACCAGCCGATTCAAAGCGAGCCGCCGAGGCAAAGGGAACTCGCGGAGACTCCGAATCGGATGATGACCGACCTAAAAAGAAGAAGGTCGCTGCTAAACCCAAGACGAACGGCAAAAGCAAGAAGCGGTGATCCTTGATGTGGACTTATCATGATGAATATTGTATCTGCTCGGCATTTTATTTTCTGTTTGCTTTCGGTTGTACCATTATTGATTTCAAGTTGAGGTGTTGATATTTGTATATAGCGATGTCTTCGGTACTCTAATGGAGTCATTTCCCGGTCAAACTCAGTCCTCCTTATCCTCCACAGGAGTTCGGCTATTTAGTCTCGCTTCTCTGAACAATAGTACGCCTGCTATAGCTGCTCCGGGGCCAAACGCCACTGAGGATAGTACGTGCCAAAAGAAGAGAAGCACCATTTCCTTCACGCTCCGAGTGAACCAGAATGTCACAAGAAAAGTCGACCCTATCGCAAACACCATGTCCCACTGGATGACCGCAGCGACTCCTTCGGGTAAAGACAACGGACGCTTGCTCAGTGCCAACTGTGGCACCAGGACCTTCTGGAATTTTTGAAAGTCAAAGAAAAGCGGCCACGTGTAGTAGATGTGGAAGACAACAGAAGTGACGAAGATGAGACCATACATGGCTTGGGTGATAGCATAGCCGGATTCCACGTGACGGGAAGAAGGACGAATGATGAGGTATACGAATTGGGCGAGCGCCATGATAATAGGGTAGCCTTGCCATAGTGCAGTGGATGTGAGATCTTGGAATATAACCATGCACACCGTTGGAATAATGTAGCCGGCTATCAGAGCAAAAAGTAAAGCTTGTGCACTGCCCTGAGTGATTTTTGTTGCGCGGCCTTTGACAGGGTCACCAATCGCCGCACCGCTCAGAATGAGCGCTATATAATAAACTG